GCTCTCGTAATGACTTGTAAACTTCCATTCCCAAACTGAACGGTCCACAATGCAGGGACCAGGGCTGCCTGTCACACACACTACGTAGCCTCAGGATTCAGCTCAGGGCCTGGTCTGCATGCTAAGAGTGTGTTCAAAGGACAGAGGCACAAGACCCCGAAATTGGGCCTTGTGGCCTATCAAGTTCATGTTCTTAGAGGGTAGCGGTGTGGAAGCTCCAGCAGCATGCATGCCCCTGAGGCGCCAGGACGCTTATTTGGGAGGCGAGGAGTGGGAACGTTTGAGACCATGACCTTGTGCATCTGAGCCTGGCGGGACCGGGCTCCAGCACTGACTGGGTGATGTGGGCAGTTACCAGCCTCGCCCGCTGCCTCTGCCTCCCCCTCTGGAAACAGGGACAGGACAAGCAGCCACGTGGGGATGCTGGACACTGTTGTGGGCCCAGCACGGTCCCTGGCACAGAGGAGGTGCTCCAAAGGCGCCAGCTGCCGTAGGGCTCTGGACACCAAGGGGCAGGGCAGCCACCAGAGTGGCCCCCGAGCTGCCTGGCAGTGGGCAGACCGGGCCCCGGCCCACCCCTACCCCAGGGGACTGGTTCCTGGCCCCTGCCTCCCCACCTCCTGATATACAGCGGGCATTAGGCCGCCCAAGGGGATACTGCATCCTTAGGAAGAAATATGTCCTCATTTTTCTTAAACACCGTTTCCACTGAGTGAAATGTTTAGAAGGGACGCGCAGGGAGAACTTTATTTCCTACCAGGGAGTTCAGAGCCACCAAGCAGAGCCCATAAAGCACCCGAAGCCTGGTAGCTGACAGGCAGCCCGGCCCCGAAACACATTACTCACGGGCAGGGAGGGGCTGCCAGGCTGCCCAGGCCCCTGGGACTGCCCCCACCAAGGCAGGACAGACAACTCTGAGATGCAGGGCAGGGCAGTGGGCACTGGGCCTCTCTTCCCCTGAACCCAGGCTGCCTGCAGCAGAGGGCCTGGCCCTGACCAGGTGAGAAAGGAGCAGTTGTTCCCCAATCCTCTGCCCCTAGAGAGCAGGGAGATCAGGGGCGAGGGGCCCAGGTGCAGCTGCAGGAGCCCCCCTTCCCCACCCACAACTGGCAGGAGCCATGGCCTCCCCAGCCTTTGGAGGGAGTGAAGAGATTCATGCCGTAACGGGCCTCTTCTCCCGAGGCCCTCCCTTCATTCGATTTCTGAAGCCGGCTGATTTGAATATTTATAAATATCAGTAAATTATTTATTGTAGCAATCTGCTGCACCATTTTACCCATCGCAGTTAACACTTTAAGGGGCTCCATGTTATGGGAACAGGAAGTGGGGGTGAGGAGGGGGTGGATGAAGCAGGAGCCTCCACAGGGAGGCCTAGAACTTTCCAGAACCAGCCCGGGAACCCTCATGAGCTCCCTGGCCGGGGGGAGCTCAGGCTCTGGGTGTCTGCAGCGCCAGGATCAGCATTCTCCTCTGTCAGATGGGACGGTGAGAGCGCCTGCTCCACTGAGTCACTATAAGTCCTCAGATGGTGCCCGAAAAGGCCGTCAGCCAGTTCTTGTCCCTCTTCCCCCACCCCAAGTAGGGTCTGTTCCGCTCAAAGACAAGAACTGCCAGCTGGGGCTGGCTGAGCTTGGAGCCCTGGGAGGGAAGGTGCAGAATTTGGGGAACCGGGGAGGAGCTGAGAGGACAGCCCACCCCTGCCTCAGTCCTTCTGCCTCTCCTGCGCCAGGTGAGGTCTCTTGGTCTGGGGCTTTCAAGCCCAGGTGTGCCATGCCTGCCCACTGTCCCCTCCCAGGGCTCAGCTGCCTTTCCTAGGTCCATGCCCACCAGGCCCTGTGCTTGGTGCGGACGAATGTGCTCTCACCTTACAGCCCTGTAGCCCTTCTACAGGGAGAGAGCTTGCCCAGGGCCGGAGCTAGCGAGGACAGAGCCAGGCCCTGAGCTCACGACTCTGACCCCAGAGGCTCAGCGGTAACCTGATGCTGTGCCACCTCCCTGGGTTTGCCCCAGACAGTCCAGAGCCACTGGGGCTGGAGGCTGAGAGATCCACCAGGAGCAGGGTGGGCTCTCTGCCTATGTGCGGGTCTCAGGCCTGGCTGGGCCCCCCGCAGCTGCCCCTCCTCTTGCCTCGCCTCCAGAGTCTGCCCGTCCCTGGGTGAGCAGAGCAGGAGTCCCCTCGCCTTCCCACCCTCCAGCCCAAGCTAGCCTCCTGGGCAGTATTGTTCCCAGAGGAAGTGTCCAGTGTAAATAGAGCAGCGGGCAGGCTGGTGGCGGGAAGGAGATGAAAGGGGTAGTGACAGGGCCGGGGACGGATGGCTTCCTTCCATTGAGGCCTGGCCACGGCGTTTATATTTTGGGGAAGAAAGTCAGAGGAATGTTTACATGGACAGGAGTCTGGGGTCAGCCCACGGGGGGGTAGTCTATAGATCCCAGGGCTCTGATGGAGAGGCAGGGCCCTAGCCCCACGGGGTGGGCCGGAAGGCGGTGGATAGCTAAGACCTCAGCTCACACACCCCCTTCCCCACCCCCATCCCTGCACGCGTTGGCACTTATGAGCCTAAGCCCTGCCTCTGCCTCCTGCCCCTGTATCCCAGGCCCACACGCCTCCCTCCACTTCCACCCCTGGGACCCGCAGTAGAGTCAGAGGGAGGGCAACATCTGGAAGGCAGGTGGGCTGGGGCAGAGTGGCAGCTGGAGGGCAGGTGTGGGGGGAGTCGGCAGGAGCAAAGGGGCCTGGGGGCTGGGGGTGGGCCCTGGGTGCACAGCTGCATCACAGCTGGTAGGGGCCCAGGCAGGGACTGAGCCAGGCAGATAGCCGAAATCAGGAGAGGGTGGGCTGGGCTGGGTGGGCTGAAGTGCGGGGAGGCTCCAGGATGGGTGGGGGCCCGGGGAGGGGGTGTCACCAGCAGCAAGTGCAGCCCTGGGAGCTTCTGCTTCCCTCTTCCTTAGGATAAATATTTATAGATTCATTTGCCGTCTGCCATACACACTTGGCTGCTTACCTCCTGATAAAAATAGTGCGGGTTCCCCTACTCCCACCCTTCCCTTCTCTGTCCAGGGCAGGGGTCAAAGGGGACCAGGTGAAGCCTGCTCCCTGTAGGCCTGTTATAGGAAACTTGGTGTCAGGGAACCTGTTGGCAGGCCCGGAGTGGAATCATGTGATGATTAGAGCGCCCTGTCAGTGTGGGGACTTGGGTGTGAGCAGCACAGACTTGGAGATGTGGACACACCTGGGTAAAGTGGGCACCTGGCTTGGGCAAGGTCCGGGGCCCTGAAGCAAGGGCCACGGGACTGGAAGCGGGCTGAGAAGACCTTTCTCTGGGCCAGGCTGGGCTGAGATCACCCCATCCCCTCTGGGCCAGGTGCGGCTGTACATATGGGCAGCTGGCTACAAGGCAAGGATCTGGCTGGAGCAGCTGGACATTGTATTTCGGGGGACAGTTATCTGTGGGTACAAGTCAAGTCCACCTGTGGGGCGAGGCCCCCGGGCAGACACAGGTGATGCCGTTCCGTCTGCGTAGTTGGGTTTCCGGGTGTGTGGGTGTGTATGGTGCCGATGTCCTATGGGGGAGCCCCTTCTGCCCATGGAACTGGGGAGCAGAGCCCCTGTCCTCACTTAGCCTTGGGACCCATATGAAGGTACAGACATGTCCGTTTCTCTGGTGATGGCCATGGATTCAAGCCGTGGAGAAGCACACTTTGATGGGGCTCCTTGTGCACAAAGTGAGTGTGAGCTGAGACCCTATATGCCAGGGCCACTGCCCTGTCCCTGGCTCCACCACAGGGTCTGACATACAGTAGGAGCGGATAGATGGATGGACAGGTGGATGAACAGATAGATAAGCATGTGGGGTCACTCTGTGTACGTGTGTGTGTGTGTGTCCACCCTTGTCAACCTTTGGGGCAGATCCCAAGCTGTATGGGTGGGCTTGCCATGGGCCCCTCCACTCTCAGGACCCTCAGTGTCCTGATCAGGGACAGAGTTAAGGCTGAGCAGCCTGGTTAGGGTTTCCAGCTGTTTGTGTTGGGCTGTCATGTTCGGAGATTATGTGCTGTGGCTGCAGCTTCTGGGTTACCTGTTAGGGATCGAAGGAACCTCAGCCTGTTCCAGCCGGGGCCCCTTGGGCTGGGAGGTGGGCGTCCCAGGGCCAGCTAGGCCTTCCGGGGCTGCAGGAGCTGGCCAAGGGAGAGGAGGAAGAGTGAGGTCCTAGGACAGGCACAGATGGCCCCAGGAAGGGCTGTGAGGAACTCCACTTGGACAGCTCTTGCTGAGGCTGGGGAAAGACGTCAGCAATAGGAAGTGGCCAGAGGCCCAGAGTGGGCTGTGCAGGGCCGAGGAAGACCCTGACATCAGGGAGGGAGCTAAGGAAGATGGGAAGTCTCTGCTGTCTGGTGAGCAGAGGCTGGAGTCAGGTGGGGCCCAGGGGCCTGGCCTGGCAGGGGAGCTGCCAGGGGATGAGATACTCAGATAGGGTAGGTGCTAGCCAAGTGCTGCTGGGACAGTAAGGCCAGAGGTTGGCACAGGCTGGTCCTGGCTCTCGGGGACTCCTGCCTAGGGACATGTGGTGAGATAGCACACTCACAAGTGGAACTGGCAAGCAATGCAGCACTGTCACCTGCCAGCTTGATCCCACGACCAACTCTTTAACCTGCCTGGGCCATGGTTTCCTCATGTGTCAAAGGGCACACCACCTCTCAGAAGACTACTCCATGTATTTGAAGAGTACTTCATTCATTCATTTGTTCATTTACAGAGTAGTCCTTGTACCAACTACTCTGTGCCAGGCACTACCAGGCTCTGAGGATAGTGATTCCCGAGCTTGGCCCTGGGAGCTATAGCCTAGTGGGGGAGACCAACACGTGCCAGGCAGTCTTGGGGCAGATTGATAAAATCACAATGCATCAGGGGACCCGTGGCATAGGGGTGCAGGGCTATTCAGGTGAGCAGGCTGTGCTTGGCAAGCACACCTCTGACTTCCATCCCTCCTCCATCCCTGCAGCTGAAGGCACGAGGTGCACCGACCCGCCAGCAGGCAAGCCCGCCATGGCGACCAAGCGCAAGGGCGGCCTGAAGCTCAATGCCATCTGCGCCAAGTTGAGCCGCCAGGTGGTGGTGGAGAAGGGAGCAGAGGCTGGCTCCCACGCTGAGAGTAGCCTGCTACGGCCCCGGGACAAAGAGCGAGGCGGCCCTGAGTCTGGGATGGCCCGGGCCCCCCGCAGCGAGGAAGACAAGAGGCGGGCGGTGATCGAGAAGTGGGTCAATGGGGAGTACAGCGAGGATCCGGCACCCACACCTGTGCTGGGCCGCATTGCCCGCGAGGGCCTGGAGCTGCCACCCGAGGGCGTCTACATGGTGCAACCCCAGGGCTGCAGCGATGAGGAAGACCACACAGAAGAACCCTCCAAGGATGGCAGCGTCCTAGAGGAGAAGGACTCAGACGGGGCAGCCTCCAAGGATGACAGTGGCCCCAGCACCAAGCAAGCTTCAGGTGCGTGTCTGGCCTTTGAAGGGAGGGGAAGGTGGAACAGGGCACCATCCCTGGGGAGGCCCAGCAGGGAAGGGACGGTGTGTCCAGGGAGCCTTCCTCACCCCTGCTCCAAATACTGGCACTTTGTCCAACCTGGTGAGAACTCCTGGGGGTGGGGACAAGGCAAGAACTGGAATGGGGAGGGGTGGGCACCCACGGCAAGCCAGGCTGGGCTGTCCCAAGTGTGTGGGTCTTAAAGAAACAACGGATGGACGGACAGGTGGGGATGGATGGACAGACGGACAGACAGGATAGATGAGTGGACAGATGGTGGGTGGGTGACTCTTTTTACACACACCTGGAGAGGGGCAAGCCTGTCGGGGGCTGTAGTCCCTGGCCACGAGCGTTGGGGGAACAGTTAGCACCACGAACTGCATGAGCTCAGGGAGGTTTCACCGAGAAGCTTAGACTCGGCTTTGTTCTCCTGCCCCTCCCCTGGGTCTTCTCCTTCCCTAAGCCTCTGTCCCGGCCCTCCCAGGCAGGCCTGCTCGGGGCCATGCGGATGGCCCGCCCAGCCGGCATATCCCCTTACACGCAGCTGCCCTGGACAGGGTCCTCTGGCTAACCTCTTGCCCACGAGATGGCTGAGGCCCAGCTTTTCTGGTGTCTCCTTGTCCTTAGGACCCAGAGCAGCCCTGCGCTCCTTCTGCTCCGGGAGGGCGGTCCAGGGGGGCAGCACTGGGGCTGGAGCCCCAGGGTCTGGGCCTTTCTCTACCCCCAGCCTCCCTCCCAGGTTGGTGCCTGGTGCCCTGAGCCTCCCCTGCCCGCTCCCCTACCCCCTTCCCCCTGCAGCGAGGGGCGCATCTCCTCCCTGTGCGGGGAGCCCTGCGCAGCCACATAATTATGCATATAAGATATAAACAGAGCTGTTTAATTATCCTTCGCCACATCAGTGACAGAGTAATTAACAAACATTGCAAGATCAATGAGGAAAAGTGTGACCTTCAGTTTCCTCTGATAGGAAAAGCCCTTGCCGTTGCCAGACACAAGGTGATTGTGCTGGGCCTGAGGAGAGGAGAGGGACGCGACAAGGGCCGCTGTCCCTTCCACACCCCATCCCACCCAGGCCCAGCTCTGCCCACAGCCGAGGGCAGGTGAGCAGGCCTCAACTCCTGCCTGTGGCCTCCAGGGGAATGGAGGGCTGGCAGGAGGCAGGGCTTCAATTGCCAGGGGCCTCATGGCTGCTGGCCACCCCCCTCAGCCCGACACCTGGGACAAGGCTCAATCCTGGGCACTGGAGAGAGCCAGCGGAACCCCAGCTGCCCACTGTAGGCTTAGCCCCCAGGCCACCTTCTCTGGACCCTGGAGCTTAGGGACATAGGCCTCTGGGACCCCTGCCTGGTCCCCTCCCTGCTCCAAGCTGCCTGCCCTTCAAAGCCCTCTGTTTCTCTGCCATATATAGTGAGGGCTCAGCTGCCTCCAGCTATTTTTAGCCCCTTTCTCTGGTCCCTGAGCCACTGAATCCAGCAGCCAGAGCCCACTCCTCCCAAGCTGGGCCCCCATCCCTGTGTAGCTTCAGGTCAGGACAGTGGCTGACTTGCCACCCTGCCCCAGAGAACATCTGTCTGCTGGGTCCTTGCATCACTTTGCCTGCCTGGGGCTCGGGTAGCTGCCCATGACTGTCCTTTCCTCACCTAGCGGGGTGCCAGCCCCTCCAGGAACCCAGAGCCTCTCCCTCCACATCCTGCTAGGTGTCCTCTCCTGCCCAGGCCCCACCCTGCCCCATCAGACCCCTGCAGGTATGCTTCCAGAATCCCAGACCCGGCAGGCTTACATGGGGTCCTGATGCTCTGAGTGTGCCCATGTGGGCTGGCTTGTACACATAAGGTGTCCCCTGGGGCCCTGGTGGGTCTCAGTCCCCCGTGTGCATGCAGCCCTGATCCAGGATGCAGCACTTGTTTGGTGAAGGAATGAGTGTGCGTGTACCCTGGGGGTCCTGCGTCTGCTGTGGTTGGGTGTTGTGTGGGAGAGAAAGACCTCAGCATTACAGTGGGACCGTCTTCCTCCCGGCATCCTGAGACTCGCCTTGGGGAGCTGGGTGTAGGATTTGGGGGACTTGTGTACGTGTGTGTATGTAGAATAGGAGAAAGTAGCTAAGAATGTGAGCTTGTGAGTCTGAATGTGAGTGTATGTGTGAGTGTGCGTCAGAGTATGTGTGTTATGTGTATGAGTGCATGTGCCTGTGAGTACATGTGCATGTTGTGTGTGAATATGTGTGAGTGTATGTGAGTGTGCATGCATGTCAGGGTTGTTGCATGTGGGAGTGTGTATGTGATTGTGTGTGTCTGGGTGTGTGTGCATGCATGTCACTGTAGGGAAATCCCTCCAGGCATCTCTGTGTGTTTGTGATGGGGACAGTGGTGAGGACAGCTGGGCAGCACTTGGGCCCTCCCCAGGTGACACAATCCTGTGTGTGACCACAAGTGACTGAAGGGTGACAGGAGAGTTTGAAGGAGTCATCCACGTCCTAAATCCTGGCCGGGGCGGGGCCCTAAGTGAGTCTGGTGGGCATACTGGTGCCCTCTCAGCCCTGCTGTCGGGGACCGTCAGCAGCCTGGGAAGGCTTGGGGAGGCCAAGAGGCCAGGTTCTGGGCAGCCTTGGGTGAGCCCCTCATCCACTGAGGGCATCCAGTTGTGGGGGTCAGGGAAGGTCCTTCAGCTAGGCCACTCCTGCCCCCACCCAGAGCGTCTGCCTCATCCCCTGGGCTCCCTCCTGACTGCCTAGCCACCGCCCACACCGTACCTATCCCTGGCCCCGTTCTTACTGGCCCCCGCTCCGGCAGGCAGGTTGGGCTCTGGCCTTACTTCCAGTAAAATGACTTCTCTTTCATATTAGGCCAAGGCGAGAGAGCGGAGACATTTATGAAACTTTGTTTAATGTACTGAAAAGCCATCGGCCAGAACATTTAGGAAATTGATTTTCCTGGCATTGATGAACTCGTTTTATTTTACCCCAGTATTAATTACTTTTTTTTAAAACAAATTAATTTAAGAGTCGTAAAACCTAACAAGTGAGCCAAATGTCCATAGATCATGTCCTGCTCCACCCCCTCCCCACACTGGCCCCTCCCTCATGGGTGGGGGCTCGCAATGGAGGGGCTCCTTCCCTTCCTCCCCTGCCCCCTCCCAGAAGTGACCCACCCCCTCCACCCACATAGGTGAGGCCTCCTCACTGCGGGACTATGCGGCCTCCACCATGACCGAGTTCCTTGGCATGTTCGGCTATGACGACCAGAACACGAGGGACGAACTGGCCAGAAAAATCAGCTTTGAGAAGCTGCACGCAGGCTCCACCCCTGAGGCAGCCACTTCCTCTATGCTGCCCACCTCCGAAGATACCCTCAGCAAGCGGGCGCGTTTCTCCAAGTACGAGGAGTATATCCGCAAGCTCAAGGCCGGCGAGCAGCTCCCCTGGCCGGCCCATGGCTCCAAGGCCGAGGAGCGGGCGGGCAAGGAGGTGGTGGGCCCCCTGCCTGGCCTGCGGCTGCCCAGCAACACAGCACACCTGGAGACCAAGGCCACCATCCTGCCCCTGCCATCACACAGCAGCATCCAGATGCAGAACCTGGTGGCCCGGGCCTCCAAGTATGACTTCTTCATCCAAAAACTGAAGACAGGCGAGAACCTGCGGCCCCAGAACGGAAGCACCTACAAGAAGCCATCCAAGTATGACCTGGAGAACGTCAAGTACCTGCACCTTTTCAAACCTGGGGAGGGCAGCCCCGACATGGGTGGAGCCATCGCCTTCAAGACGGGCAAGGTGGGGCGCCCCTCCAAGTACGATGTCCGGGGCATCCAGAAGCCAGGCCCTGCCAAGGTTCCACCCGCCCCCAGCCTGGCTCCTGCACCCCTCGCCAGTGTGCCCAGCGCTCCCAGCACCCCTGCGCCAGGGCCCGAGCCTCCTGCTTCCTTGTCCTTCAGCACTCCTGAGTACCTGAAGTCAACCTTCTCCAAAACGGACTCCATCACCACGGGGACCGTCTCCACTGTCAAGTAAGGCGCTCCCCCTCCCACTGCCACTCAGCCAGGGGCTGGGCTGAGCGGGAGGCCTCTTCCCCACATGTGAGGTGCACACTTGCAGGCACATGGCGCCGCACACACCCTGTGCACATCCACTGTGCACCCATTGCTCTGCACACATGTGCACAGGTACACACAGCACTCACACACATTTGCTCTTGCACCGACATTCATGTGCCTCATGCAACACTCACTCATGGTTCCCAGACCTGCATACTCCACGTCTTCCCGAGCACCCTCACACGCTGTCACACACCAGGTGCCGATGGGCCCTGTGCATTTGCTGATGTGCAAACCATGGGCTGCGGGCACCCTCATTTACCCATGACAGACTTCTACCTGCTGCTGCGAGGGCCCAAGGCAGGCTTGTGGTGGCCGAGAACACTGCTTCTCGAGGGTGGCGGGGTGAGTCCGTGCTGGTGGCCTTCACCCCAGGCTCAGAGCAGAAGGTAGGAGGCTGGGGTGGGGGTGTCTGCACCTTTTCAGCCTGAACCCAGGGACAGGGGAAAGGCTTGGATGGTAAAACTGATGGATCACATGGGGCTGATCGAGACCCTTCCCCAAAGCCCTTCCCTCTACTACACCAGCATGGGAGCCCCCAGACCCTAGGGGGCTGTATACCTGGGAGCAGATCTTGGCAGCACCCACTGGCCTGAGGGTGTGGAGGCGTTCCCTCTGCCCCACTGCCCTTGCTCAGTGCTGCCCTCCCCACGTCCCTCGCTGGGGGGCCTGGTGCCCTCCTGAATGTCCCTGTGGGTCAGGGGGCCAGGCCCCAGCTTCTGAGGCTGTGCACCTCAGTGGACGGACTCTGCACTGCCATGCCCCAGGCAGAGCCCTCTAGCCATGCTGCTCCAGGTGGCTCTGCCCTCACCAGAGCTGGTCTCATTGAACCTCTGCCAGGCTTCTGCCAAGGGACTTTCTTAGTCCCACCCTGAGTGCCTCAGAACACCGCAGAGCAAAGGAGAGAGAGGCTGGGCCCCAGGGCAGGGAGCTGCCCACGACGCTCCTGGGGCACGAGGCACCCCCTGTCCACTAATCGGCTGTGCCCTGTGTGTCTCTCACCAGGAACGGATTGCCCACAGATAAACCAGCTGTCACCGAAGATGTAAACATTTACCAGAAATATATTGCCAGGTAGGGCCCTGGGGAGGAGCCTGCCGTGGAGAGAAGGTGGGGGGCCAGGAGTGCCGGGGGACTCAGACCATCCGACGTCTGACCGCTAGGGCCAAGGTGGCTGCCTCCTCCCACCCTCTCGCATTTGTGTCCCTAAACTCCCCCAGCCCCTTGGTGTAGTCCAAGCCCCACAGTCCATGTGTGGCTTATAATCCAAGCGGCGCCAGGGTGCAGCAGGTGAGGGCACCTGGCCGCAGGTGAGGGCACCCCCTTCAGCTGGTCCAGGTCCTACCCTCACACAGAGCCTGGGGTAGGATGCTGGCCACTCTGGGGGTGTCGGGGTTGAGAAGGGGTGTGTACAGGTGTGTACAGGAGTGTGACACGGCCCAGTGGGCTCCCCTGGCCCAGACACCATCAGACTCCAGACCTCCCCCTTTCCATCCCAAAGGCCAGGGAATTGGTAGGTGAGAAGCCTTCGCTGTGACACATTCCCCCAAATGAGACCCCACCCCTGCACCCACACTGCTGGAGCAGCGTGTGGCAGGAGCCAGGCCTGGCAGCTGTCTTTCTGCTGATCTTACAAGTCCTTGCTGTCCCCTCTGTCTCTCTACCTCCTGTGTCCCTCTGTCTTTCCAGCCTTGCATGGTTCTGTCTTCCCTTTATTATTATTGTTACCATTATTATTAGTGCCTCAGCAGATGGCCCTTTTGGCAGCTTCAGCTTAAGTATTTATTTGCAAGCGGATTTCCCCTCTACAAATGGGGGATTTCTCTCATTCTCCTGCAGTCTCACGTCATCCTTGGAGGGGGACAGGCAGGCCGAATGAGCCACCTTATCTACAGTTGTCATGGTGTGCTCACTTCAGAGTGGCCTTCGCAGGGCTGGCCATCACCGAGGCTGTGAGAGTCACAACCCGGCAGCATCAGAGCCTGGGGAAGGAAGGGGGCTTTCTGGGCGGTGGGCAGTGGCCAGGCAGCACGGGGCTCCGGCTGCGGAGCTGGCTGGAGAGTGAGCTCTCTGCCGCGGGAAGCCAAACAGATGCTGTGTTTTAAAAATTCATAACTCTGGACTGTTTCAAGTGTCAGGAAAAGCCCAGGACAGAGAGAGCCCTTTAACACCTCTTAGTAGCAGAGCCCTGAGCTGGCCCAACCAGGGCCCCCAGCACCTGGCCTGAGCTAGGTGGAGGGTGGCGGGTGGAATTTGGGCAGGCAGCTACCTGCAGAAAGGGCAGTTGGGCCACTGTGGGGGCTCTGCCTTCCCTCCCCCGCCTATCTCCCCCTGCTCTGGATTTCAGCCTGAATCAGCATCTTCTTGCCCCTACTTGGAGCCAGGCCTCTTTGCCCTGCGTGGTACTCCCCAGCTGATGCTGGCGGGCATGCAGCTCTGTGGGCCCAGTCACTCCTCCTGGCCTCTCTGCCCCTCCACATCCCCGCACAGCACTCAGGGCCCTCTGAACCCCAGCAGCACTTCTCTGGGGCACAGCCACAGAAGGGGCAGCTGCTCAGGCCGAGGGCCCTGGAAGAGTCCTCCCTGGGGCTAGCACCCAGACAGGGGCCTGACCCCACCCCCTCGTCTCTTCAGGTTCTCGGGCAGTCAGCACTGTGGCCACATCCACTGTGCCTACCAGTACCGCGAGCACTACCACTGCCTCGACCCCGAGTGCAACTACCAGGTACGGGCTGCACAGGACGCACACCACTGCCCGCCCACCAGCGTGGCGTGGAGGCTCTTCCTGGAAGTGGGACGGGGTGCTTATTCTGCTCGGGCCACTTGAACTTAACTTGGGCAGGCATAGGCCAGAAAATCTGCCAGCCTGACTGTCTTCCCTGATTCCTGCCGACAAAGCCATTTACACGCTGGCTATCATAATTCAAGCTCCCTGTCCTTAAGAGTCTGCCCTGTTCCGAGGACTGAGCCAGTCAGCCTACGCGCCTTACCTAATTGACTCTTTCCACTGGCCATGTCAGGTTATTATTACTGGCCCATTTTAAAGATGATAACATTAAAGTTCAGACAGACTGTCGCTATGTCTGAAGCCACCCTGGTGAGTGCAGAGCTGGTGAGTCAGGTGGGAGTTCAGGCAGCCTGCATACCAGTCTCGCCAGGATCTGAGCCTGGCATAGCTTATGGACTGAGCCATCACCCACCAGAGACCCTGCCTTCAAGGCCTGGCCTGATTGATCATTGGTGCTCATGGGCATGGCTGGGAGCCTGGGGGAAGGTCAGGGAAAGATCTGTGGTCCCTGAGCCTCTGGAATTGTTCCTTGCAAGGGCTGGTGTGCCTGGAGCAGGCCTTGGACAGTCTGGGCTGCCTCAACCCCAAGCAGAGTTATTTACGGGGAGATCTGAGGGCGCTGGGGCCAGCACCTGGCCCAGGCTCTCTTGGAACATTGGCGGGCAGGGGGCACGGATGGGGAGCCCAGGCTCTTGCCAACTTAGCGCTCTCTCCTGGCAGAGGTTCACCAGTAAGCAGGACGTGATCCGACACTACAACATGCACAAGAAGCGCGACAACTCCCTGCAGCACGGCTTCATGCGCTTCAGCCCACTGGACGACTGCAGCGTCTACTACCACGGCTGCCACCTCAACGGGAAGAGCACCCACTACCACTGCATGCAGGTGCCTGCCGCGGCCACCCAGGGTTCAGGGCAGCCTGTGGGGAACCGGCCCAGGCAGCTCTAGGACCTTGCCACCAACTCCAGCTTGGGCCCTCCCCCGTCCAGCCCCACTCCGCCAGGCAGGGCCACCCCGGTGGGCAGGGCCCTGCTGATCGAGAGCCCCCTCCTCCTGGCTCAGGACAGGGACTGAGAGTCCCGGGGACTCAAGCTTGGGCAGTGTCTGGTGGGCCAGGGCGGGGCCTTCCCCATGGCCATACTTGGTGTGGATGAAATTCAGTGAGCTGTTTATACAGAGCGACATTTTTCAGGCTTTAACACCAAGAGCAGCATTGCAAATGATTCCTGAGGAGGTTTTTGTTTAATTCTTTGTTTTAATGCCACGCAGAGTCTGGGCTTTTTCAAGGTGTCAGGCTGAGGAGGAGAGCGACTTTGGGTTGCAAATAGCAGCCGCTGCACCTCCCCCGGTATTTGTCAGGGGTTGTTATGGCCTCTGTGAAACAACCTGGGCCATGAGGAGAGGGGGGCCCACCCTCCGGGCTCTGAGATGGTGCAGACACTGGCACAGCCCGGCCTTCAAGAGTGTTCAGATTCCACGGGTTTTTACTCAATATGGCAACATTGCCTGCCTGGCCCGGGTGGGGTGGGGTGGGAGGGCCTGTGCCCAGGAACCATCCACTAAGCAAATCTCTGGGCTAAAGGTGACCTCCAGGCCTCCCAGTCTGGCCCCTGTCCACCTCCTGAGGGCTTTGCAGGTAGGGCCTCAGACTGGGGCTCCAAACCCAACTCCTGCAGAATGAGTCTCCCTCCGTGTGCCAAAAAGTGTCCAGGGTCTCTGAAGACAGCCTGATCCTCCGCACAGGCAGGGCCAGGCCCCAGGTCTCCGTCCCTCCCTGGGGTGGTTGAGGGATTTGTAGAGGTTTCTGCTTCAGTTCCTCTGTTGACCGGAGGTCACCATTTAGATGTTTAGAGGTGCTGAAGCTCCCCTGAGCAGGGTAGTGGCCACGGCCGCACCCAGTTGTTCTGACCTCGGCCCAGGAGCACCCAGACTCGGTTTCCTGACCGCCATTCTGCCGTGTGCAGGTGGGCTGTAACAAGGTGTACACGAGCACGTCAGATGTGATGACCCATGAGAACTTCCACAAGAAGAACACGCAGCTCATCAATGACGGATTCCAGCGTTTCCGAGCCACCGAGGACTGTGGCACAGCCGACTGCCAGTTCTACGGACAGAAGACCACACACTTCCACTGCAGGTAAGCGGAGCCTGGCCGAGGAGGCTCCTGGGCCGGAGTTGGGGGCAGACGGCAAGAAACCAGGCTTATGGGACAGCCCAGGGCTCTGCCTCCTCCAGGAGAGCAAGGACAGGAGTTGAGGGCTCCTCAGAGGCCCTGCCTTAGTGTGCAGCCTCAGTCTTCCATCTGGGGGCTGTTCCTCCCAGGGCCATGGTGGGGGCAGGGCAGGGCCTCCCCTGGGCCCCATGAGACCCCATGACAGGCTCCCAATGTCCCATCCAGGCGCCCTGGCTGCACATTCACCTTTAAGAACAAGTGTGACATTGAGAAGCACAAGAGCTACCACATCAAGGACGATGCCTATGCCAAGGACGGCTTCAAGAAGTTCTACAAGTATGAGGAGTGCAAGTATGAGGGCTGCGTGTACAGCAAGGCCACCAACCACTTCCACTGCATCCGTGCCGGCTGCGGCTTCACCTTCACCTCCACCAGCCAGATGACCTCGCACAAGCGCAAGCATGAGCGCCGGCACATCCGCTCCTCGGGCGTGCTGGGGCTGCCACCCTCGCTGCTGGGCGCCAAGGACACGGAGCAGGAGGAGTCCAGTAACGATGACCTCGTCGACTTTTCTGCCCTGAGCAGCAAGAACTCCAGCCTGAGCGCCTCCCCCACCAGCCAGCAGTCCTCCGCCTCCCTGGCCACTGCCACCGCCACCACCGAGGCCGTGCCCGGCACCACCAAGCCTCCCAGCAGCAAGATCTCGGGGCTGCTGCCCCAGGGCCTGCCTGGCTCCATCCCCCTGGCACTGGCCCTCTCCAACTCGGGGCTGCCCACCCCTGCACCCTACTTCCCCATCCTTGCTGGCCGGGGCAGTGCCTCCCTGCCTGTGGGTGCCCCCGGCCTCTTGGGTACCGTGTCCTCTGGGGCAGCAGCCACAGCGGCCCCTGACACGCCCGCTGTGGTCGCCTCAGGAGCGGGAGACTCTGCCCCAGCCTCTGTCGCAGTGCCGCCTGCCTCCATCATGGAGAGGATCTCTGCGAGCAAGGGCCTCATCTCACCCATGATGGCCAGACTGGCTGCGGCTGCCCTCAAGCCCTCTGCCACCTTTGACCCAGGTGAGCAGGCTGGGCCCTGCCCAGGAAGCAAACACCTTCTGGACCTGGGTAGCTCCCTGGCCTCAGGTTTTGGAGCAGAGCAGGGGGGTGTTTGGAAGAGGCAGCTGTGTGGTCCCTGCACCCGAGTCTCCGGCCTGCCAGCATCCCCCCTCTGCCTGGTCTCTGCCTCCATCCTGTTTATTTCCTTGTGGGGCCTTCATCCTGGCCTACACCCCACAGGGAGCTCTTGCTCCTGTTTCTCAGGGACAGTAATCCCTGCCCCGTGGGCTGCCTGGGGTCCCGGGGGCCACACAGGGTCCCTCCCTACCTGTCTGCTCATCCTCCCACACACGAGTCCATCCTGATGAGAGAAGGAAGGCCCAGCAAGCACCCTGGCATCCTAGGGTCTCCTCCCGCTGACCTGGAGGGGGGTGTGAGTCCCACCCTGTGGGAGGGGGGCTGCACCTTACACCTGGACAGCCCCTCAAGGCCTGGGACACCTTTCCCAGGCTCCCCCTTCTGTGAGCTGCCTGTAGAACTTTCCGGACAATGGAGGCCTTCCATGCTACACCATCCAGCATGGCAGCCACTAGCCATGTGCGGCTGTTGAGTGCTTGAAACTAGCTTTGTGACAGAGAAACTGGATTTTAATTCTAGTAGCCACAGCTGGCCAGTGGCTGACAAGGGGGACAGTGCAGGGCTGGAGCCACCAAGTTATATCGTCTTCTTCACTTGGGCTCTCCCAGGGGGGGCAGTTATTCCTCCCTCTCTTCTTCTCTCCCTCCCTCTCTCTTTTTTTCTTTCTATAATTTTTTAAATAGTCCATTGTTTTTAAATGTTTCTAGTATTTTTCTCTGGATTTGGGGGGACTTTCCTATTTACCTCACTCCTCTCCCTGTCCCCCATCTGGGCAATGAGTGATTGTTGAGTCCCTGAGAAGAGCACAGTTCCTGTCTGGCTCACGTCATTCATTCATTGAACAACCGCTGCTGCTTGCTGAGGGTGGCTTGCTGGGTGCTTGCTGGGAGCCAGGCAGGCAGCGCGTGCTGGGGACACAGCAGGCAAGACGAGACAGACAGACAAAAGTCCTGCCCCGTGGAGCTGACGGAACAGTGGGGGATGGTCTGTCCCCAGCACATAGCTGGGAGGTGGTGAAGCCCAGACTCGGCCCTCAGCAGTCTGGCCCTGGGCCTGGATGCTCTGCGCCCACTCGAGACCGTCTTGGAACCAGCCAGGACTCAGGGTCCCTGCGCCTCTGCTGGGCTCTTCCCGGACCTTGCAGGGGGCTGCCAGTGCTTAGGGGGTGAGGTGCTGAGCAGTGTTTCCCTGGGAACCTTGGGCAAGGGACTCCAGAGAGCTGCTGGAATGTGGACTCCTGAGGTCTGAAAACTCTGTCACATGCTCAGTGGGACACTCGTACCAGGTGGCATTGTGGAATAACCTACCTTCCGTGCCAGGCGTGGGAGGGGCCCTGGCTAGTCACACCCCTCTGGCCAGTTGCCTGCAGGCTGGGGCAGGGCCCACTCCAGGGCCACCCCGGGCTCGGTGGCCAGAGTGTCAAATAATTTGTTTTCTTTAGAAAAACCTCCTTCCCCCAAAAGAAAGGTCAAGGGAAGGGGAGGGGGCCGTTTCCCTTTATTTTTTAATAAAATGCCACTTGCTGTCTGTGAAGCAGCTCTCTGTCAGCTGGAGCGCCTTGGGGCAAATTAATATTTCAGTCACTGGGGGATTGTGGAGGAAGCTGCCGGACAGGGCCCTGTCAGCAGCTCCTCTTGCCCCTGCCCTGCCCGGCCTCCCGCAGCCTCGCCCGCCCGGCTCCCACCCGGACCCAGCCGGCCGGCTGCGGGCGGGCCTGTGTCCCTGCACTGGACAGCTTGACGGGCGAGGTCACACCGCTTGAACCGCTCTGATTGGCTGTCAGCTCCCATCGCCCTGACACAGCAGATGCCCTTCCCGGGCATGCTCAGTGCTCCGGCCGTCGCCCCGGCAACCGCGGGCCGGGGACCTGCGGAGGGCCGCTCCCAGTCCAGATCTGCCACTTTCCCTCAGCATTAACAGAGTCTTTAATAAAAGCCTAAGCGGCAGCCCCACAAATTGACTGTGACAGTTGGTGGAGCAAGTGAAGGGCCCCCGCCCCCACCCCAGCCCCTTCCCCAGCCTCCCGCCCTTCTCCTCCAGGAGGCCCTGAGCCAGGACAACTTTGACATAATTTTGCAATAATTATCACTTGAAGAATTGCCACACAGCGGCAAACGTCGCAAGTGATCACGTCAGTGAGGAGAATCGCTGACCAGCAGCGGGGCCTCCTTAGGCCCCGGCCCGCCCAGCCTGCTGCCCTCCCTCCAGGGGGGCTGCAGTCTGCGCCCATGTGCAGCCTTCAGCCCCCCTGACCCATCTTCCCTCCCCTCCCCTGTAGGAAGCGGGCAGCAGGTCACCCCCGCCAGGTTCCCCCCGGCCCAGGTGAAGCAGGAGCCTGGTGAGAGCGCTGGCACCCCTGGCCCCCACGAGGCTTCCCAAGACCGCAGTCTAGACCTGACTGTGAAGGAGCCCAGGTGAGGCGGGCAGCAGGCCCCTGCAGGAGCCAGGCCCCGGGGACAGCACCCAGCGCTGGAGCCCAGAGGGTCCTCCTGCTCAGGCAGCCGCGGCAGGCGGGCCTGGAGCCCACGGTCAGGCTGGGTGGGGCTTGCCTCCGGGCTCGGTCCCTGGCTGTCTGAGCTCAAGCCCCTTGGTTTGTGTGTTCTAGTAATGAATCAAATGGCCACGCAGTCCCGGCAAATTCATCTCTTTTATCCTCGCTTATGAATAAGGTAAGAACCATCCATCACACGCCTCCCTTTCCCCCACCCAAAGAAATTAAAGCTGTGCTGGGGGGTGGGGGGAATGTGTTTGTTTTTTAATGTTTTGCCTCTAATAAGATGAGTTTGTACCATTTAAATTTTGAGGCCATTTTTCATCGGATATAATTTCAGAGCCACTGCTTACAAATTAATTTAATGAACTGGCTGAAGAAATATATTCCAGCCCCTGACACCTTTTTTTCCCTTCAGATGGAGGGCTCCAAAAGCTTTCCCAGAGCCCTCTAACTTCTTTCGCTCTTAGTTATTAATATTATTTATTTATTTTATATATTTTTTGTTTGTTTAAAAAGGGGTGGCGGGGGAATAAAGTGGGAGCAAAGCATCAATTTCCACTTTTCGGGTTGAGTAATGGTCTCGGACGCCTTCCGGAGAGGTCGCTCTGGAATATTTATTTTAAATAATGCAGGGTCTTTGTAAATTATACATCATCTCAAATATATTTTTCCCCTTCACATGATAAATTTGACTACAGCAAGATTAATTTGGTTACTGTACACAAGTGACTGCTGAGGAGGGAGCCGGGCCTGGGCTGGACCTAGCGAGGTGGGGGTCCTGCTGGGCGCTTGGCAGGAAGGGGCCTCCTGCTGCCCTGCCCCTGCCCCGCCCCTTCTCTGCGCCTGCCACCTGCTGTCCTGCTCTCCGTCCCCTACTCTGGCCACAGCCCTGCACCCCACTCCCTCCTGCAGCCCCACACACACGGGCACCCTCCAGCCCCAGCGAGTCTCCCTAGAGCTGCTCCTTTGTGTGCCTCCTCTTATTCTCAAGGAATTCATAGGGGTTCTCCCATCCCTCCTCCTCCTGCATTTCTTTTGAAAACCTTCTGGCAGGAAAATAACCAGGGAGCCGCAAAGTCTGGCGAAAGCTGGGCTGCAGTGCGCGCCCTCCAGCAGTGCAGTGCGAGTGAGTCGCAGCCTCGGCCTGAGTGATGCGGGCGGGCACCGCGATGTGTGCGCAGGAGGCCTGAGAAGGCCTCGCAGCTCCGGCGGTGAGGCCGCAGGCTCTGGGTTCCGAGGGCTCTTCCACAGCCAGAGCCACGCGGGGTCAGGCTGCGGGCTCTGCGCAGCACTGCCGTGCTTGGGTCGGCTCAGGCAGCCCAGAGCAGCTGCTGCTCCCTAAGCAGGGTGTCTTGTGTCATGAGGTCCCCTAGCCCCAAGCTCGGCCTCTGTCCTCACAGATGTCTCAGGGCAACCCCAGCCTCGGAAGCCTGTTGAACATCAAGACGGAAGCAGAGGGAAACCCCACCGTGGAGTCCTCACCCTTCCTGGGCAAGGCCGTGAAGGCGCTGGTTCAGGAGAAGCTGTCAGAGCCCTGGAAGGTCTATCTTCGCAGGTGAGGGACTTATGGGGAGGGCCACGCCAGGCTGCCAGCCATACCCACCCAATCCTGCCCCACCCAGTCGTGCCAGACCCCCAAGCTCTCCTCTAACGGCCGGCCCCTCTGGCTAGGTTTGGTACCAAAGACTTCTGCGACGCCCAGTGTGACTTCCTGCACAAGGCCCATTTCCACTGCGTGGTGGAGGAGTGTGGCGCGCTCTTCAGCACCCTGGACGGGGCCATCAAGCATGCAAAGTGAGTGGGGGTTCTGGGGGCCCATTTAAACACAGTCCCATTTATCCCAGCATAGGTCTGGATTGGGTGGGGCTGCGGCCTGCACAGGCCCGAGTGCATGTCCCACCAGACCAGAGACTAAGCTGACTTTTCAGAAGGTGCTGCCCAAAAGAGGGTGTGCTTCCCACAGTCCTTCTCTGAGCCGTTGCCCAGGCCCCACCTTGAGGCCCTGAGCAATGGTGGCTACTCCACCAGGTCCCAACCACAGAGACCCGCTGCAGAGCCCAGCTGGAGAGACCTGGCTTTGACCCTGGGGCAGGAACCCTGGGTGAAGGCCTTCCCAAGCCACGGCATTACAGCGTCAGATTCCCTTTGACCTAAAAATGAAATTAATTTGTAAATCCCATTCAGTTTAAAGGCAGTGAGTCTAGCCACTACAAATTGAACTCAGAATTTGTAAACATTTAATACAGATCTTCGGGGCTCTCTAAGCCCCAGACCAGGCTGTTCTCAGCACGTGGGCATCCCAGCTGCTAGTCCGCAGAGGAGAGTCCTGCCTTAAGACCTCAGGGCTGGTTCTGGAGGGAAGGGCTTCAGGAGGCAGGGTTTGCTGTCACATGCGTGCACACAACGAAGGAGCTAGGGACAGAGGAAGGTCGCAGTAGGAAGGTGAGGATAGGGCCAAGCCTGGACTCCAAGTTCAGAGTCAGAGGACACAGCAGGCTGCCCTCTAGTCTTCTGTCCTGGTGGGTGCTGGGAGACCCCTAGAACCTAGTGCTGGGATGAGGTAGGGACATTGGGCCCCTAGGCTCGCAGTGGGAGCGCAGCACCCCTGCGAGGTATGCCCAGCGGGGAGGGGCTGACCTGCACAGGCACTTCTGGCCTCCCACCTAAGACACCCTCTCCACCTCTCACAGCTTCCACTTCCGGACAGAGGGGGGAGCAGCGAAAGGAAACGCAGAGGCTTCCTTCCCGGCCTCAGCTGCTGAGACCAAACCCTCCGCAGCCCCCTCATCCCCGCCAGCGCCTCCTGTCACCACGGCCACGGTTTCCTCTCTGGAAGGGCCCACTCCCAGCCTGGCCTCCGTGCCCTCCACCCCCACCCTGCTCGCCTGGAAGCAGCTGGCTTCCACCATACCCCAGATGCCTCAGATTCCAGCGTCAGTGCCTCACCTGCCCGCTTCGCCCTTGGCAACGACTTCTCTAGAGAACGCCAAGCCCCAGGTCAAACCCGGATTCCTCCAGTTCCAGGAGAAGTGAGTCCCTCGATGAGCCGGGAGTCCCGTGTTCCCCTCGCGTCTTGGGAGTAGGTGCTAGCAAGGGTGGCTGAGGAGGCCCTGCTCCTCACCCTGCAGTTAGCGCTGGCCGTCCCCTGCCTCCCTGGGACATGGCCGTCGGGCGATGTCCTTCTAGCCAAAGATGCTGCTGCTCATACCTCACACCCTATTCCTGGAGCAGGCGGCCGGGCAGGAGGTGGTAGAGGTGGTGGCCTCCGCTCCGGCCGGGCAGGTGGCGATCACACAAGGACTGGCCTGGGTGGGCTGGGGGCGGTAGTCCTCAGAGGACGTTTCCTGGCCCCACACGGAGGGCTGCATCTCCCTCCAGGCCTCCGCGTGGGCCTCCTCGTGGTACACACGAGTGGTAGAGTGTCTGTGGGGCTGGGGAAGTCACGGACAGGGTGAGGGGCACTCACCTGCACAGGGTCTGAGCTCTCAGGGGTGGAGGGACCTTCCTCACTGGATGGTGGTGGCTCCTTGCGGCGAGAACGGTGACTTTGTATCATAATGTGTGCGCTTCCTGTTCTCAATAAAAGTAATAAATTGGATTATTTATACCGCCTGAGTGGCAGCTGTCCTCCCTCTCTGAGCACCTGGGGCTGGGGCCACGGCATGAAAGAGGACCGACGCTCCTCTCTGTCCCTCCCCACCTTCCCTTCCTCCCTTCTCCTCTCCAAAGTGGCAGCCCAAGTTTCCCAGACTGGGTCAGCGTGCCCACCGTGGGTCTGCTGTGTGGGGACTACAGTGTCACCAGCCAGAGCAGAAGGCCGGAGCCCGACATCCTGCCGCACCCCTCTGCAGCTGTGAGGCAGGACTCCAGGACAGGGGCCTCAAGGGCAGGCCAGCCATGGGGAGTTGGCCTAGCACCCCCCTCCTCTCCTGCTGGCCCCTGTCACTCTGTTGGCTCATGAGGTTGAGTGAGTGGAGGCCCCAAGCTGACCCAGGGGGGCCCCAGCAGCTGTGAGCCTCCACAGGACCCACCACCAGGCACATGTTCCCACTTGCCAAGGCCCATAGTGCAGAGCTTCCTGGTAGGGCTGCCCACCCATCTGCAGCCTGTCAGCCACATCCAAGGCAGTGCCGGGACCATGCCAGCCAGGGCCTCACAGGCATCCCGCCAGGGCTGGCAGCAGCATCCTTATTTTCATACTCGAGAAGTTATTGCAGCCATCCTTATCTATAATCCTGAGGTGTGGCCGTGGAAACTACGTGTCCCAGCATGCAATGCTCTGGGCACCCTGCACATTGTGATCCCTGAGCACCGTGCACAGCTCCTAAAAGGAGGCAGGAATGCATGCTGGGATCTGTAGTCTCCTGTGGCTGAGTCGTCCTGTTGAGCAGGAGAGCAGCCTGGGGCCATTCCTCTTGAGTGTACCACTGGTGATGGGGGAGCGGACCCCAACACGAGCAAAGTCAGGACGCTGGCATGGAGGGCTCGGGAATGCCAATGACCTTCTGGGCTGTGGTTTCCTTCCAGCGATCCTTGCCTCGCGACGGACTGCAAGTATGCCAACAAGTTCCACTTCCACTGTCTCTTTGGGAACTGCAAGTACGTCTGCAAAACCTCTGGCAAGGCTGAATCCCACTGCCTGGACCACATCAACCCCAACAACAACCTGGTGAACGTGCGAGACCAGTTTGCTTACTACTCCCTGCAGTGTCTCTGTCCTAACCAGGTCAGCATGGTGGCGAGCCGGGGGTGGGGACAGGGAGGCACCAGCCCAGGACGAGCTCCTCCTGGCAAAGACTCCATTTCTCACACCCTTTTTAAGTTGGCCTCCGTCAGACTCTGGAAAGGACACTGGCTGCCCCTAGGCCCCCGGAGGCCCCTGGGCAGGGGTCCAGATTGGTGCTAAGTTGATGAGGTCTGTCATTTCAGTCCCAACCCCCAGTGGCAACTCAATGCTGAGCAGCCACTGTGCACTCAGCATCATTCTTACCCATCCTGGAACTAGCTCTGTCCCCTTTCCCCAAAGGCCTAGAATTTTAAAATAGGATAAAGAAGTAGAACTACCATGCAGGACAGGAAGCTTAGGCCAGATCCACATTAGTGGCCTTACTCCCAAGACCACTCAAGAAGGAGTCTGAGTCTTTCATCTGGGCTTGCCCAGAAGAGTGCTAGGATAGATTAGTGATGTCTGCTCTGGGCGTGGGGTTAGCAAAGGAATGCAAGATTACCAGGTGGGATGTTTTAGCGAAATGACACATGAAAGGTCTTTATACGATTGTGTTTTCTGACTCTGAGTGTGGAAGAGCACATGTGTGCCACGGGCCTGCCACATCTTGGAGGCCCGGGACAGGCAGGAGACCTGGAAGTCACCCACCTGTCCTGACCCTCCTGTGCCCGCCTGCAGCACTGCGAGTTCCGGATGCGCGGGCACTACCACTGCCTCCGGACCGGCTGCCACTTCGTGACCAACATCACCACCAAGCTGCCGTGGCACGTAAAGAAGCACGAGAAGGCCGAACGGCGGGCGGCCAACGGATTCAAGTACTTCACCAAGCGCGAGGAGTGCGGCAGGCTAGGTACTGAGGGCAGGGCAGGGCAGGGCCTGCCAGCAGGTGGCAAGACCGCGGCCACCTCTCCTGCTCCCCACTCCTGCCCCCACCTCAGCCTCCATGTTGTGTCAAACACAGATGGCACAGGGCAGGCATCGCCAGACCTGGGAAACAGTCAAAACCCAAACAGGCAGGAAATAGGCTAGGGGTGACTCAGGGCCCCTCTACCCCAAACAAACACCCCGGGACCTCATCATCAGCGTCAGGGCTTGGCTTAGTTCTTTTTCTTTTCTCTTTTACTTTTCAGGAGCGTTTGCAGGTAAGTCTTGGGAGTTCAAAATTCCTTGCCATGGAATCTCTTACCATGGTCTAAATTATGATTTTTTTGTCCAAAATGAGCCATGGTTGGTTCATTCATTCGTTCATTCAACAGCTATTTATGGACAGCTATGTGCTAGTCTCTGTTCAATGCTGGGGCTTGGGGATGGCAGCAGTGGTAGCTTGGATTTTCTGAGCATCCACTGTGTGCTGGCTCTGGGCTTGGTACTGGGGGTCTGGGGAGATACGGAAGAGCTGGAGCACCTGCGACTTGGGGCGCCCAGGAAGGAAGGGGCCAGGCCTGCGAGAAGGGGAGGCCACAAATGGCCCTGAGCGTGGCAGCAGATGCCTCAGAGTTAACTCTCTGTGGAGAGCTGGGCCCCGGCAGGGAGAAGCCAGCCCCAGCCCAGAGCAGGGCCTCCTCGCTGGCTTGGGCTTGCTGAGGCTGCCTGGGTGCAGGGGGAGCTCCAGGGCCAGCAGGCAGAGGGCAGAGCCCACCCTCCTGCCCCAGGATGTAGCCACGTATTCATGGGCCTGCGGCTGGGGGGCAGGGATCTCCCTAGGAAAAGACTGGAAACCGGAGAGCAGGTGGAGGCTGCGGGCGAGGCCTGTTGTGGCCCCGGCGGTCATGGCAGCAGGGTCTTGGGGGGTAGGGGTGGGGGCTGCTGCAGTCTGGCCTTGCCATAGGTGAAGGGAAGGGTAAGATACTCAAAGTCACCAGCCAGAAAAGAAAGGGAACAAACCTTTCCTTCAAGTATTAATTCAGAAAGGATTCATAGCCAGGGAGAGGGGTGGTAACCATGGTAGCGGGTGTCAACACTTGGTGGCCAGTGCTGTTCCTAAGCTCAGTTTACAGATGTCAGGGTATTCTGTAGTTGCCATTATTTACTCAACTTTTGGTGTTTTTGGTGGTAGCTGAGGCCAGACAAAGCTGGGGGCTGATACAAGACACCTGGGCAGCTTGGGCGCCATGGCAGCGGGCAGGCCCTCACCTGCCCTGCCAGTACCGTTTCAGTCCTGCTGTTTGCTCTCGGCCCGGAGCAGAGTGGGAGGGGGGAAGTGGAGGGGCAGGCAGGACCCCAGGCTCTCCAGAGGAGATGTGGGGACAGGTGGCTTGCTGGGAAGTGGCTGACCTAGTAGACAGGATCCATTAGGGTCCCTTGGCCTGGAGCTGTGGACCCCTTTCCCATACGGGGACAGGGATGGGGGCCAGCCTGTCATTGTCACATGCCTCTGTGCTAGGCTGGGGGGAGGCTGAGGGATTGGACAGCTAGGTGGCCTTGGACTGCTTGGCCATCTTCATAGGAGTGCCACCTCAGAGGAAAGTTCCCTGTCCCCAGACACCATCTGCCTTGTTGGCCACACTTGCCCTGTGCCCAGAACAGTGCCTAGCACACACTGGGTGCCAACAGCACTGGCAGGCTAGGGAGGCTCATGCCAGGTGGGGCTGTGTCCACAGGCTGCAAGTACAACCAGGTGAACAGCCACTTCCACTGCATCCGGGAGGGCTGCCAGTTCTCCTTCCTCCTCAAGCACCAGATGACCTCCCACGCCCGGAAGCACATGCGGAGGATGCTGGGGAAGAACTTCGATCGCGTGCCCCCCTCCCAGGTGAGACCTGGAGCAGGTGGGCAGCCGCTCCCTGACCAGAGTGGCCAGAGTACATCAGCAGTCCCATGCTTGCTGCTAGGCAGGTATCACCCAAGGGGACAGCCTGCCCCCCAGCCCAGCTTCCTCAGGGATCCTGTTTCATTTTAGGGCCCCCCGAGCCTGATGGACACTGAGACAGATGAGTACATGGACTATACTGGCTGCAGCCCGGGCGCCATGTCCTCTGAGTCGTCTACCATGGACCGAAGCTGCTCCAGCACTCCCGTGGGCAATGAGAGCACTGCGGCAGGTGAGTGGGCAGGTGCGGGCTGTAGGCTGTGGCCAGGCCCTCCTCCCAGGGCTCAGTGCCACTGGGTCCAGCTTGGGACAGAAGGTTCATGGTCAAGCAGCCTCAAGGGAGGACAGGCTGGTGTGTAGCAGAGCTGGCCTGGGGCACCAGGGTCATGGAGGCCCCTCCCGCCATCCTCCCACCTCCCCACACTCTGCCCTTCGAGACAGCTTCCAGGAGAGGAACCTGGGCTTGTCCCCTCTGAGAGCTACCAAGTAGAGCAGCGCCACCCCTGGCCCAGGGGCAGGTGGGGGGCCCAGCCCTGCTCCCCGCTGCCCTGCCCAGCACCCCTGCTGCCCCGTGACCCTCCCTGCACTGCCCCTCCTGATCTCTCTCCTGCCCCCTCTTCTTTGTGGCACCTCTCTCTGCTCCTCTGCACACATTTTCATATCATACTTGCCTCTGCCATTGGGTTTCTCATTTTGGTTCTTTTTGTTTGTTTGTTCTTTGTTTTGGTTTCTTTTTTTTTTTTTTCTGCTTTTCTCCACCCTCTCCAGGCTGCCCGGCTCCTCCTCCTCTTCCTCCTCCTCCTCCTGCTGCCGCCGGTGACGAGGCTGCCCGCCTGGCCCCGCAGCCCCCACCGACTGCATCCTTCTCACCGGCTGTGCTCCGGCCGCCCCTCCCCCCCCTCCCATGCCTCTTCTCTCCGTCCTGTCTCTCATACTCTCTGCTCAGTGCCACTCTCGGAGCCAGCCGGGGCCTGGCCCACCCCATCAGCAGTCCGCCCAGCTTCCCGCCCGTCACTGCCACTCCAACTCCAGTAAAAAGTGACGTCCCCCTAGTTCAGGACGCCGCAGGTAACTCACACGTGCCTTCTCACCAGTCTCTGTCACCCCAACTGACCCTCAAGGTCATGGTCCAGGGCCTGACTCCTGCACCCCTCGCAGCCAAGCACCCCTGAGACAGACTCTGGTCTCCATGCCAAGGTCAGCTCCCTGTGGCCCCTGCTCAGTGCTGGGCAGGCCAGAAGGCTGGGCCCAGAGACTCGCCCCCTCCCAGCAGCTGCTCAGAGCCTCAGAGATGGCTGTGCCTGGCCCCCCCCCACATCCCTGCTGGATGCCCTGTGGGTGCACCTTCCTCGGCCCTGGGCAAGGCAGAGCCATCCCTCCTGCTCTCAGGAGTCTTCCTGGGCCTGGCTCTGCGGAGGGGCAGACGTACTTGGGAAGGTTTGCTGGTGCTGGGACCCGCCCAGGTTCGGACGGTCCTGATTCTAGCCTGACCCACCCCCCTCCCAGCTGTGCAGGAAGAAGAAATCTCTGTGGCCCCAAGCAGTGCTCAGTGGCAGAGGGGCCTCCTCGTCCCTTCCCCAGTTCTGGTGTCCCACAGGGATGGAGCCTGCTTGCCCCGTCCCTTGGGTGTAGATGTCACCCAGCTCTGTCTCTTCCTCTGTTCACTCTTGCCTAGCATTCTGACTGAGCAGAGCTGCTTTGCCAGGCCTGAGGAGTCACTGCAGGGAACAGGGCCTAGTGTCCCCACCCTCGTGGACTTCAGGCCATCAAAGCTCCGCTTCTGGCATAACCAGACCCTGTGACTTCAGACCCAAAGCAGCTGCTCCTCAGGCACCTGAGTCTCAAGGCCTGAGACCATCCCCTGCCCCTGCCTGGGCACACCCACCCCACTGCAGCCCTTGGTTTCTCTTTGCTCATTGTGGCTGACTGGGCCTGTTCCCCAAATGGACAGTGCAGATGTTTGGTGGCCACGGTGGTTGCTGGGCATCTAGGCACACTCGGGGCCACACCAGTTGGCCCTGTGGGAGGCCGGAGGACGCCCAGCACCCACTCCAGCAGGGCTGGTCTGAGAGTCCCCTCTGTTGTTTCTGAGGGGCGGGGAGTGCAGGGTCCAGCTGCCCGTGCAGCCAGCGTCCCCTTGCCCACAACTGCAGGCACTGCGGGTGCCTCCCAGAGGGGTACAGCAGCACAGCCTCCACCTTGGCAGGGGGCATCCTGAGTTCTGGAAGCAGTCTGGGGCCAGGCAGGCACCGATGGGCATCTGTCCCTGGCTGGGCCCCTGCTCCAGTCCCTGGCCCACGTAGGAGGCTCTGAGCTTTCTGAGACCCGGCCCCTCAGCAGGTCCAACAAGACCTTAAAGAACCTTCTGGTACCGAGGAGAAGGTGCTCCTCGGGGCAGGGAGTTACAGTCCCACGCAGCCCTGGGGCGCTTGGCACCCCTGCCGTGAGTAGGCAGGTCCCCCTGTGCAGACAGGCCGTAGCCGGGAAACTGGTTCGCTGGCGGGAGAAGGAGCCAGCCTGTCCCTCATTAGAGGCAGGCGTGTGATGGCGTCCTGGCCCCCATCCAACTTGGGTAATTACACTCTGCCGACCTAGATTCCCCCTTCAGCTTCAATTAGCGCCAGGACGTGTCCTCACTTCCCACCCAAACTGGCCAGGAAGCAGCCACCACATCCCCCGGAGCTGGCTGGTCTGCCTCCTGGGTGGACGCCTGTGCGGTCATCTTGCACGCATGGGATGACAAGGGGAAGCCTGGGACCCCTGCTGTCCTGGGGTGGGGAGGGGGAGAACAGGAGAGGCCACACTGTCCCTACATTTGCCCTCTGGCCACGGTGGCCAGACCAGGGCCTGTGTGGGAGTGACCCTGCAACGGTGCCACATGGGCACTGTGGGCCCAAGAGGCACCGCTTCTGCACTGACCTTGCCCCCCTCCCCAGGGAACACCATCTCCATGCCAACAGCCTCGGGGGCCAAAAAGCGCTTCTGGATCATCGAGGACATGTCGCCCTTTGGCAAGCGGCGGAAGACGGCCTCCTCTCGCAAGATGCTGGACGAGGGCATGATGCTGGAGGGCTTCCGGCGCTTCGACCTCTACGAGGACTGCAAGGACGCGGCCTGCCAGTTCTCGCTCAAGGTCACCCACTACCACTGCACGCGCGAGAACTGCGGCTACAAGTTCTGTGGGCGCACGCACATGTACAAGCACGCGCAGCACCACGACCGCGTGGACAACCTCGTGCTGGACGACTTCAAGCGCTTCAAGGCCTCTCTCAGCTGCCACTTCGCCGACTGCCCCTTCTCGGGCACCAGCACGCACTTCCACTGCCTGCGCTGCCGCTTCCGCTGCACCGACAGCACCAAGGTCACGGCGCACCGCAAGCACCACGGCAAGCAGGACGTGATCAGCGCCGCGGGCTTCCGCCAGTTCAGCTCGAGCGCCGACTGCGCCGTGCCGGACTGCAAGTACAAGCTCAAGTGCTCGCACTTCCACTGCACCTACCCGGGCTGCCGCCACACGGTCGTGGGCATGTCGCAGATGGACTCGCACAAGCGCAAGCACGAGAAGCAGGAGCGCGGCGAGCCGCTGGCCGAGGGCCCCGCGCCGGGGCCGCCCGTCAGCCTGGACGGCTCGCTCACCCTGGGCGCTGAGCCGGGCGGCTCGCTGCTCTTCCTGCAGACGGCCGCCGCCGGCCTGGGCCTGGCGCTCGGGGACGCGGGCGACCCGGGCCCGCCCGACACGGCCCCCGGGCCGCGGGAGGGCCCCGCCGCGCCCGGTCCGGCCGCCGGGGAGTCCTCGCAGGAGGACGAGGAGGAGGAGCTGGAGCTGCCGGAAGAGGAGGCCGAGGACGACGAGGACGAGGAGGAGGACGAGGACGACGACGACGAGGACGACGACGAGGACGACGACGACGAGGACCTGCGCACCGACTCCGAGGAGTCGCTGCCCGAGGCGGCGGCCGAGGCGGCGGGGGCGGGCGCGCGGACCCCAGCCCTGGCGACCCTGGGCGGCCCCGGCCCCGCGCCCGCCGCCGCCTCGCCCTAGCCGCGCCCGGCCCTGCCCAGGTGGGACGTGGCCGCTGCGGTCCCCGGTTTTGTAAGAAACGCTATTTATATGTGACGCTTCCGTCTGTACAGAGCTCGCGCGCTCGGGTCCGCCCGCCCCGCCCGCCCCGCCGGTGCTTCCGGACCCCGAGTCCGTCTCAGGACAGGCGGGGACCCCTGGTGCTCCGCGGCGCCCCCGGCTCGGCGCAGCCCGGCGGCTGAAGGACAGGCTGCCGGCCTTTGCTGGCTGAGACGCGGGGGACTTCAGGGAAACAAGGTGCTCTGCCCGGCGCGCCGAGGCGGGGTCCCGGCCGCCGCAGCCCGGCAGCTGCCTGAGCCCCGCCCCGCGCCCCTGGTTCAGGACTGGCCTGGCGGGGGCCACCGGGACCCCACCCCGGCCACGGGGCGGGGGCGGGGCCGGCACCGTTAGTGCAGCTAAGACCCTCCCCTGCCCGGGGAGGGCGGGGCAGAAGGCGCCGGCACCGTTGACACTACAGGGACCGTCGAGGAATCTCTTGGAATTAGCAGCCAGCCTGGCGCTCTGCGGCCTCTCGCCCCTCCAAGACCTGGCCGCGCCCCCAGGGCTGCGGTCCCGTCTGTTTGGTGACGCCTGGGCCGGGGGAGACAGAGGCCCGTCCGCAAGGTGGGGGCTGGGGGCCCAGGGCTCAGCCGTACTGGTGGTGCAAACAGGAAGGATGCGACTGGTTTTGGCTTTAATATTCAAAATGGAAAAAAAAAATACAAGAAAGTTGTACAGTATTTTTTCCTGTAAAGGTTAATTATTCTACATAGAACAAAAAGGAAAAAAAAAGCAGGCGTGGGAAGAGTGCAGAGCGCCCAGGCCCAGGCTGGAATTGCGGCTTATCATTCTAGAGGCCTTAGCAGGTGAGGCTGTCTGCACACAGCACTGGCGGAGCTGCGTGATTCCAACTTTTAACTTGAATTTTGTAGAGACAAGAAAAACGGACTATTGTTGTTGATACAAGTTTGTAGTTAATTTAACATTTGAGTTTTTCTCTATTGGTTATGCGTGTGGCTTTATAGGGCTTTTTTTTTTCCAGTTTGTTTTATAATTTTGTTTGGGATGCTTCTTTGGTGGTTCAGCCCACCTAGATTTGGTTCCCTTTTCAAAACATGCCCCTTTCTGGAGATGATGAGGCCATCAGAGCGCAGCGCAGGGCCTCACCTGCTGGGCACGCACCTGGCCGGTGGCTCTGAGGTCTCCAGGGATCAGGGGCTGGTTCAGTCCCCGGCGAGGGCAGGTGGCCTAGGGCCCCTCCTGGCCACCTTCTCTACTCCCAGCCACCAGCTGGCGGCAGGTCGGGCCACCGGGAGATGGAGGGGTGGGGTGGAGGCCACCACCCGGAAGCCCCCTCCCCAAAGGTCTCCAAGGGGACCCCGACCCATCTGGGGGACAGTGGTTTACTTTTCCTTTTCCTTTCTTTTTTCTGTCCTCTTGGCTGCCCACAGCCAGAAAGCCAGGACCACCTGAGCTGGAGAGGGAGCAGGGCGGGAGGGGTGGTCACACGAGTGAGTGTACCTGATTCCACCGGAAATGAGTTGTTTTCCAGACAGCCCCGACCAGAGCCTCCTGGAATCTGTGGGCCCCACGTGCTGCCGCGGAGCATCTGCCCAGACTCTGACCCACCACGGACCGTGGGAGGGGTTTTGTAAAGGACACACACACACACACACACACACACACACATTTTTCAATGTAGCAAAATCAAACAAGAAGAAAAAAAGAAGATGCCGCAGTGCGAAGTCCAGCCTTTTGTAACCTTCATGTTGCACACTAGGACTATAAGCCATTGCTAGCTCATTTTGAATTTTAACGTGTAATTTTTGTTTTATTTTCTTTCTGTGGGGAAAACAATGCTTGATCCACCAATGCTCTTTTTAATGTTTTATAACTATGTATGTGTATATATATAAATATGAAATAATATGTATGCACATATGTGTGTGTATATATCTATATGTATATACATATATAGATATATAGAGATATATAGAGAGGTTTTGAGACAAAAAAATGCAGAACGTGAAAACCGAACTGAACAGCGTGTGCTCTGATTACTTGAATCTGGTCTCCTCGGCACCTGGTTATTAAGAACTGAATATTTTTCCACTTGAATTTAGTGCTATTAGAAATTTAATATATGTGTTTTATTTATTTGATTTTTTTTGCATGACTGATGCAAGGTTTGACATTTTCACTCAATAAAAACTGGAAAAAAAATCTATCAAGTTATCTTTTATTTTTAAAATCACCCCCAAGTAGCTGGCCGTGACCCAGCTGTGTGGGGCGACACAAACACAGCCAGGCTCCTGTGCCAGCATTGGAGGGGAGGAGGGCGTTGGTTCCACCCTGGCAGGGGAGGGGGACAGACCAGTTTTGCCCCAGGGCATCAGGCCAGGATCTCCCAGGTTGCTAGGGACAGACAGTGGGGGGCTCAGGCCCGTCCCCCCAGCACCGCCCAGAACCCCGGCTGGAGGCCCCGGAGCCACCCTTGGGCGGAGCTGTCAGGTCTTGGCCATGGGGCAAAGGCTCGAGGCCTCTCCAGGACCCCCAGCCTGGCCAACCCCCTCCTTTCCCGACCGGGGCTACTGGGCCGCACTTGGCAGGGCCATCTTCTGCCTCCTCCCTCGGCTCCTTCCTCCTTCCTGCAGGGACCTGCCCGGGCTGGGAACGGCGCGTACCCGGATCCGATCCGGATGCTGGCGCGGCTCCTGCCTGGAGCACGCGATGGCAGAGCCAGAGGGGGCCGATTCCTGGGTCTGTAGCCACCAGCCCAGAGCCCGAGCTGCCGGCCCTGGTGGCACTGTGGTTGGGGACTCCCATTAGACCCACCCCCAGAGTGCCGGGCTCCCCACCGCTCCGGGCGCTCAGGTGGCTGTCCAGTCTGCCCTGACGCTTCCACCAGGTGACTTGCTTGTCAAGAAAACTCTGCATCATCTTGCCTGTCCTGCCCCGAGATGACCTCCAGGTGGCTGGAGCTTCCCAGGGCCTCAAGGAGGGGACACGTGTGGGGCCTGTCACACCCCTGGTGGGGAATGTCACATCCACGTTCCTGACGAGGAAATGGGGAGACTTGGGGGCTAGAGGTTAAGTCGCTGCAGCGCGCTCCCCCTGGCCGAGCCTGGTGTGTGGGCACAGCCGCCAGGGCCCGGCGGCCAGCTCGCTGTCATCTTCCAGCACGGGAGCCGGTCTCCAGCCCAGCCCCAGCGCGGAGGGCCCTTCCCTTTCTTCTTTCCTCCTGGAACGCGGCCCACAGGCTATTTACATAAATATGTTTGTAACAGACACGAAAATATATACTTTTTTCTGTCTTATTAAAATGTTCAAGTTGGAACTCGCCTATTGTTTGTGGATATCTCGATTCTGTTAAATAAAACAGTGACTAATTTATGGGATAAAACACAAGTTCAACAAATTAAAACCATTATTGGAGCTCCCGTGGGGCCCGAGGGGAGGCAGAGAGCCAGGCCCCGGCCCCAGCTGTGGGTGGGTGGTGCGACCACAGGCTCCCTCCGGGCACCGGCGCGGTGGGCGGCTCCCAGGGGCAGGTCTCGGGCGTCTGGGGCCCAGGGGAGGGAGGCCGGGGACTTAGGGCAGTTTGCTGACCTTGGCCAGACCCCAAAACTGTCCCCCCCACCTGCCTCCAGGGCTTCTGGGTCTGGATGGACCTCGGGGGACCCACAGCGGGGCAGGAGACCCCAGCCCAGCCCGGGGCAGAACAAGCACCACTGTGAAGGGCCCAAGCCCGGCCCAGAGAAGGGGCGCGGGGTCTCAGGAGGGTCTCTGAGGAACAGGATGCTGCCCCCAGCCGGCCCATTGCACCGAGTCCCCAGATGGCAGAGAGAAGCGTCCTCGAGTCCCCACATGGCACTTGTGCCCACTCTGAGACGGCGATCCACGCCGCCTCCCAGAGCCAGGGGAGCCCGCTGCTGCGGGTGGCGCCCACCCGAGGGCTGGGGACTGGGCCGCAGCACCCTCTGCGGCTGGTCGGACTCGGTAGGAAACGCAGTAAAACGTGTTTTCCTTCTGGGATTTAATTAGCTGTGGTATGTGATGCTCCTACACCCAAACTGGGGCAAATTCTAGAGTTCTGTAACCTCTTGGAAAGAGCCAGAGCCAGCTGCACAGGCTCGTGGCTGAGCTCAGGGCCCGGCCCCCCTCCCACAGACCTGGCCCGGCCGGGTGCCACCGCAGCTGAGTCACCCACGGGAGCCGGGCCTGGCATTCCACGAGTGGCCTTGCCTTCTCCCACCCCCACCCCTGCCTGGACACACAGTGGCAGGGCAGCCCTGTCTCTGGCCACCGGCAAAGGCACCATGTCCATCCACCGTCACGAGAGGTGGCCCTGACCCCACAGGTAGCCTTGGTCCAAGGCCAGGGCCCAGGTTGGGGTGTAAGCACAGCTACCCTGAGCCCCGGGGCAGGCCTCTATGTCCCAGGGCCCCTCAACAGGCTGGAATCCCAGGGGCCAGGCCTGGGCTACCCTTGTGGGGAGGAGCTGCCCCACCCTCTGGGCAGGTCAGACAGGAAGCGGCTCCCAGGAGGCTCAGAGGCAGCGCCCAAGAGGCCAAACCCAACCGCTTGGCCTCCTGGGAGCCCCACACCGCTAGAGGGGGACTTGGTTTCCCCCCAAGGAACGTCCCTGCCACCCTGGGGCCGCTGCCACACCTGGGTCTATAAGGCACCCCTGGAACTGGCAGTGGCCTGGAAGCGACCCTCCCGGGGCTGCAGGGCGGAAGACTGGACCTCTGCATGTCACGGGTTTGTTTAGCACATTAACTGCTGTGTGAGTTGTATTTAACTCACGCTAGTATTGAACCCGGAGCCTCGTGAAGCATATGTTACTCACACGACTCTTCACCTTGAGAGCCATGAGAACTATTTTTCAAGTTGCATATAACGCATGCGCAGAAAACAAAACAAAGTTTTCATTAAATTAGAAAGGATCATTTTGTTTTGAAGTTTTTACTGTATTTTCGTGATAAAACACTGTGGCCCCAAGGAAAAAAATCTTTTTTCTAGTGTGGCAGTCAATGTGTTAAAGCCATGGACCTTTAACCACTTCGGGACCAGCGCTGACTGTAGTCGACAGCCACAGATGAAAGCGCACAGCGGCTTTAGCCGACAGTCTTGATATGACTTTTCTAATTTTTCATTTATCAAAATAAAATTGTGAACATTTAAAAGTAAGGTAATGAAAACATGTATGTCTATGTTACCTGTTCTGACTTACATTACAAGTACAGCTGCCTGTAAAGTAAAACAAGCTTTCAGTGCTTTCAAGCGTTCCTCATCACACGAGAGCAGAACGGATGCGTCGCCCATGCGTGCGGACTGTGGGTGCCGGCCGTGGGCAGGTGTCGTGGCCGGTGGGCGCCGTACTAAAGTGGTTAAAAAAAAGTCTTTCCAGCACTTGTCAAGGCGCAAGGAAAGGTTTCAGGCATCCTCTTTAAGAAATGATAACACATCTCATCTCTTATTGGAGGAGAACATGAACTTTAAAGTGCTGGATACACTTAGCCAGGCATGGTGGCGCCTGCAGTCCCAGGGTCCCAGCTACTCGGGAGGCTGAGGCGGGAGGATCCCTTGAGCCCAGGAGTTTGAGGCTGCAGTGAGCAAGGCTGGCATCACTGCACTCTAGCCTGGGCGACAGAGCGAGATCTTATCGATCAATCATTCAATCCATCAAGCGCTGGGTGAAAGGAAAACTATTAACGTTTGCTCCCGACTTGGGTTAAGTCACCCTCGCGAGACGCCTTATAGACGGCGTCCCAGAGCTGCGGTCTGAGCTGCGGCTGGTGTGGGAAGGTGTGGGGGGAGGGGCTTTCGGATGGGGGGGCCCACCAGGCCCTGCACGCGCCCTGCACGCGCGTGTGTGTGCCACACGCGTGTTGATGCGTGCCAGCCTGGGCGCGGAGCAGGTGGCGGCCACACATCCACGCAGCGGCCTGGAGGTGTCTGCCGCGTCACTCCCCTTGGCCAGCTGGTGGCCCGTCCCTGTGCAGCGCAAAGGAGCAGGGACCAGAGGAGCGTCAGGGCCTCTCCTGCCAGAGACGAGGCCTGGGGCGCCCCTCCAGGTGACCGCTTCACCTGAGGACGCAGCCCCACCTGGGGGTCTCATTGCTGCCTTCGTGCCCGGCCCACCTGGAGCCTCTGACCCTCTTCTCCAACGGCCTCGGCAAAGCCAGTTTAAACAGAGAAACACCAGGATCCCGGCAACTCCTGGGGACCAGGTCGTCTGAGAGTGGCTCCTGCCCATACTCCTCCTCCCTCCTGGGCCCTGGGGCTGGGCAGGGGCAGGGCCACAGCAGGGCCCTGGAAGGAGAGGGGCCTTCCAGAAAACTCTTCCACTTCCATCTGGGTGTGAGGGTCTGAAGGACAAGCACAATTTGCTGTTCTTAAGCACCACTTGCTGAAGAGGAGCTCCCGTTTTTATGCGGTGGGATGGGGGTGGGGAGAGGGTGAGGGAGGGGGAGAGCCCGCTGGTGCCAGGACAGCAAAACCCAGCGGGAAGGGCGGGAGGGGTGGGAGGAGCCCTGCCTCGCTCTCTCCACACTGACCCGAACGCTGGGTACCCACTTTCTTCCACAAGAGGGAAACCAAGTCAATGTTTTGGGGGTACAAACTCAGCATCCCCTCCCCTGACCCAGCACGCTCCTTTTCCCCACCCAGGGGTCCCAGGCCGGTGCCTGCAGGCTGAAGAGGGGCTGCTCTGGTCCGGCCACCCTGCTCCTCGGCCCCCCTGGAGGGGGCACAGTCCCCAGGCGCCCGGTGCCCCACCCCCAGGGGGGCTCCCTTGCCACCTGGCCTGCTCCCGGGGCATCAGGAACGCCGTGGGAGGTCCCCTCTGTCTTTCTCGAACAAGACGACCCTGCCCAAGGTAGAACACGAAGTCACCGGGGGAGCTGGGGAGACACGGGCCCAGGCAAGCGTGTCCAGGCAGAGGTCAGGACAGCCGGCCTGCGGCCTCAAGCACGGGGCTCTTTCTTTCCTAAAAGACACTTTATAAAAATATACTGTAATTGAGTTAATCATCTTCTCCCTTCCAGAAAGGGCCTGACAGGCGCTGCCCGCTGCTCACTTCTGCCCCATTCCGAATATTTTTACCTTATTTGGATGAAATGCATTATTTTTCTAATGAAAGGCTTTTTTTTCAAAGGGCTGTTTTCCCTGGTCCAGCAGCTGCCTTTATTAGGCAGCACTCACGCCGTTTTGGGGAGGGGTTTTTCTCTCCCTGAAATCACGCCAGACTCTGTCCTCAAAGGCCGAATTCGGTGCTCAGGACCCACAGGGGCAAAAGGCCTCCGGGGCCCAGGTTTCCATCCCTTTCTCCGCCAAGCTTGAGCCCAGGGACCCTCGAGCTACCGCCCCCGGGTTGGCGAAAACTCGCCTGGCGCTGCCCACCCGGGGGAGAGGGAAGGCCCCGCTCTGGAGGGAGGGGTGCAGGCGGGGGCCCCGGCCATGGCTGACGCTTTGCTCCCCTGCCACCAGCCCTGCTGGCCCCACAGGAGGAGGGGCCCCTGAAAAGTCACAGATGATGGCCAGTGTGCACCAAATTAAGGGGGCGCAGTCTCTCAGTCACCAACCTGCCCAGGATCCAGCTGTTTCTATTCACTACGGAAGGTCCAAGGCTCAGCAGGCCGGGGAGTTGGACCCTCAGTCACCAGCGACTGGGACACAGCCCGGCCTGCCCTGGCCCCTGCCTGGCTCCCGGTCACAGGGACTCCTGGGAGCCCCTGGCAGGGCAGGGTCCCCTCATCTAGGCAAGGCTAGTAGCCCCTGGGAACTGAGAAACCTGCTACTTCAGGGACAGCAAAGAGGCTGGGGACAAGGAAGAGGACAAGCTGTAGTGGTGACCCTCAGTCTAGGCTCTGGGTGTCCCCAGGGAACGGTGGCTGGAAACACGGGCCCAAGGAGTATCCCGTGAGGCTGAGCGAGAAAGACACAGCCTGCGGCCAGAAACCAGACCGGGCACTGGACACGCCCGAGGGTCAGGGCCGGCAAAGTCCCAGAGTCCTGCCGCCTCCGCAGGCGCCTGGGCCTGAGTGTCCAGAAGGGTTTGCTGCGCGGGGAGAGGAGGCTCGGCTGGGGTGAGATGTCTTCTGGGACAAAACAGCCCCCGTACCAGGTGTCGGCCCAGCCATGAGTCTTTTCCCGCCCCAGGGCACGACTGCCCGGACCCGCCTGCAGCCGCCACCCAGGCGCCACTTCCAAAGCTGCCTGTCCACACGGCGCACACGCACGCCACAGTGCCCACGGCCCCCACGCCTGGTCCCGAGGAACTCCTGGCCCTGCTTTTCCGGTTTAGCCAAAGGCTCAGTGAAAGCTGAGGGAGACAGGGAGGGCAGCAGCCAGAGGAGACGGGAGGAAGAGAGGAGGACACACGCCCTCCTGGGAGACACTCATCCATTTAAGGAAGGAGAGCCCGTCGCACTCGGCAGCAGGTCTATATACAGTAACAAGAGGTCCCTTCTCCTGTGGGCAGACACCCGGGACCGGGGAATGGGCCCCTCCGGTGGCAGCTGAGCAGTCGTGGAACCGGCCCCGGAGGGCCCGCCCAGCGGCCCGTCTGCAGGGGCTGCCCAGCCCGTCCCCGCTTCCCCCACCCGGGGCCACGCGGTGCCGGGAGCAGACAGGGAGCCGCAGGCAGGAATTAAATAGTGGCAACTCGTATTTATTACAATTATATACAGTCCTATCTTATAATCCGAAATCTATACATGATCACACAGATGAACATGTGCCTCCTGGCAGGAAGGACAGAGGTGGCCGTTGGTCAAGAGGCCCCAGTGCCCAGCCTGTCTCGGGACTAGCTGGGCCGTTACTCGGCAACGGGGGCGGGCACAAGTGCAGGGTGGTTTCGTTTGTCTGGGAGGACAACAGGACACAGCTGGGGCTGGGGACAGGCGCCCAGGCTTCGGGCACAGGGCCGGGCGGGGGAGATGGCGGACACCAGAGGGGCCACAGCTCCTCGTCCACCGAGGAGCCGGGAGGCAGGTGCGGACACTAGCTCTGGCCATGCGCGGTGTCACGGTAGTCAAGACACGCAGCAAACACGCCCTGGACGGGATGCCTGTCTGGGAGAGGGGCTGGCAGGGGCTGGGCTAGGACGTGGCAGGCTGGGGCTGGCGGGCAGGCGAGAGGGGGCCATGGACAGCACGGCGACCCCGAACACCGCCGCCGACCGCAGTGCGCTGTCGACAGCTCCGGCCCCTGCCTGGCCCCAGGCCACCTCCCAGGGCCGCCATCGCGGGGAGAGGCAGGCGGGGGCCCTAGTCCCGCTCATTCTCATTGCTGGCACCCTCGGGTCGCCGCAGCTTCTCCACCTGCTCGTTGATCTGCCCGTCCCCACCCCGGCGGTCCTCCCTCTGCACCCCCAGGCAGTCCTCCTCGTCCACGTGGCTCACGTCGTCGTCCTCGTCCTCCTCGTCCTCCTTGTCCTCCCTCTTCTCCTCCTCGCCCTGCACCTCCAGCCTCACCTGGCCCTTGACGTCTACCACGCCCTCACCCTCCTCCTGGGGGCCCAGCAGGTGGTAGGTGACGGTGGAGCCCTCAGGGCTGTGGCCCTCCTTCCCGGGCGAGGACGACGTGGACTCGTTGCTGACCGGCGAGATGTCGCTGCTGCTGTGGTGGTTCACAGCCGCGGGGCTGGAGGGCGACGGCGACTTGACCGGGATCTGCCAGGAGGGGATCTTCGGGGCCGAGGGGGACGGAGGGAACTGCCTCCTGGTGGAGGAAGCGAGAGAGGAGGTTGGCAGTAGCACCTGGGACTCCCACCCTCGGGGGCTCAGCCACGGTGGCTGCTCCCTAGGGCCACCCGCCAGGGGACTGGACGAGCCCTCCCTCCCCTCCTGTCAGGAACAAGGCCCGTGGCCCGTTGGAGGTGCCATCGGAGGTCCCGTCACTGGGACAAGCCTGGAGTGCCCTGTGCCGCCGCAGACTGCGCCGCCACACCAGGTGTCTCCAGGCCCGCCTGCCATGACGAGGACCCTGCCTTGCAGCTGCTGGACGGCTGGGCCCGGGGGCCTGCCACACCCCGGAGCCGCTTCCTGCTCATCTCCAGCACTGTCCCGGCCTCTGCCGGGCGTCCAGGAGAGGGAGAAGGTGGGGAGCCCAAAGGACCAAGACTGGCGACCCCAGACACCCGGACCTCGGTCCTCACCTGACTATGGCCTGGGCAGAAGGTGGGGGCGGGGAGCCCTGGCAGCTGGCCAAGCGGTCAGACACCAGAACCAAGAGGGGGCCGCTGGTGCACTTTGCTAGAAAACCCCTGAGCTCCACACTTGGGACAGGGAAGAGCGGCTCTTTCTTCCGCTCCTGGGCTCCCTTCCTGGGCCCCGGGCCAGCAGCCAGCCCAGACCAAAGCCAATTCCAGGAGGGACCTGGAGGTCAAGTCTAGCTGGCAGCGGCTCAGAGGCGGAGCTCTCTGGCAGGCGGGCCCATCCCTGGGCCAAGACGACAGAGCCCTGCCCCGCCCCCCCAGCGCGGGCCTTGGCATGAGCTCTGCAGCCTGGGTCCGCCCTGCAGCGGGCGCACACGCCAAGGCCCGCTTCCCCACCCAGCGTCGCCACTGCTAACTAGAAGTCCAATGTACAGTGTTCTCGCCACAGTGTCACTGGCGGCCTGCTCTCTGTGCCCCAGCCTCAAAGGCACTGACCGCGATGCTGGGAAATGATGCTCTCCCCAGTGACGACCCTCGGGCCCCTCCCTGAGCTCAGCCACACCACTCTCAAACGTGTGTTCTTTTCCTCAGGGAGGACCAGGAACTGGGTGGCCTGGAAAACGGGGTCCCCTACTCTTGACCCCTGGTGAGGGGTCCACCCGCACCAGCCGCCCCGTGCAGCTCCCGCCAGGCCAGCGGGAAATGAGCGCTCCTGTGAGCCAGGCGGGCGCCGAGCCGGGAGAACGACCAGCCATCGCGGGTCCCAGGCCCGAGAGGCTGCGGACACCAGCCTTTCAGGTGGAAACCAGGACGGTCCTGGGAAGCCAAGACAAGTTGGTCATCCTACATTCAGGGCTGTGCTGGTGACAACGTGCTGTCACTGGGCAGGGATGACAGAGGACACCCAGAAGCTGGAGGGAAGCCGGGGACCGGTTCTGCCTGTGCCTCCCGTGGCAGAACTCTTCGCACTACGTGGGCACAAAGAGCCCTGGCCCTCCGCAGGGACTTCTCCAGGACGAAGGCGTGGCTGAGAGTCTCCCAGGACCCAGGACTCCCGTTGCAAGACGGGCCAAGCCGGGACATCCTCCTCAGCTCAAAGGGCCCTGCTTTTCAGCGCAAGCTGTCCTTGACCGGGTCTGGGGAACTGTGTCAATTTCAGAACCCTATGGGTGCTGCAGACTGTCCCCCTGGAACGAGGAGGGGTCCAGCGGGGAGGGAAGCCGAAGCTCAAACAGTCCCCACACCCATCGCCCTGCTCAGTCGGCGGCCAGACTGACGGGGGCCCTCGCGGAGACCCACCCCAGACTGCGGCCAGCCAGGAGTGCCCAGTCCAGGCCCGGCCCGGCCCGGCCAGAACACAGTCGGAGCCTTCTCTCCTACCGGTTTAAAAGAAGCCCTTTCAAGGAGTTAATTTCCGACTTGAGTTCGTTGATGTTCTGGGACTCCAAGATCCAGTTGGTAGATGTGGTGGCCTGGAAGACAAAGCACAAGGATCAGAGAGGGGCCCTCCGGCCCACAGCAGGACGGTTGCGGCTCCAGGAGGGCCTGGGCAGCAGCGCGGGGCACTCTGGGTCTGCTCTGACAACCCCGGGAAGGTTCCGCCTCCGCCCGTCCGGGGGTCTGCCCGCCTGTGTCTCTGTTTACATGACGACACCCTTAAACAAACATTCCGCAACTCCGTTTGGACAGCTGATATTAAGAAATCACTACATGTTTTCAGGTGACATCGGGGGATTATGCATTTGTAAAATAAAATAACAACAATAAAAGAGCCCTTGTCTTCTAGAGAGACGGCTGAAGAGTCTGCACAATGACGGTACGAGGTCTGGGACTCGCTTTCAACTAGCCCGGCTGGGATGCTGGGGATGAGGCCGTGGGGACACGCGGGTCCAGTCCCACCCCGTGTCTGCGGGTGTTTGAGACGTCCACCAAAACGAAAGACCGTAAAATAAACCCAGACCACCCCACACCAACTACCCCCTCCACCTACCCCCTCTCCCCTCCGAGAGAAACCGCCACACACACAAGTAAACTCGCTGCCTCGGCACGGGCAGGGACCTGGGCCTGGCACCTGGAAGCCACCCATGGTGTCGCGGAGGCCAACGGCAGCTGAGCACCCGCCGTCCCATTGCTGCAGGTCTACTCTGACGCTGGCCTAGAAGACAGGCTTTGCTGTGACATGTGACTTGCCCACACTGCGCGGAGACCTCCAGGTCCATAGGGTCAGGTCACCAGCGGCTCCTCAGGGCCAGGGAGGACGTGCGCAGGCCACGCTCCTCTGTCTGCAAAGCTACCTGTGGGCCGCGTCACCCATTCAAGCTACTCTGGGATGACTGAAGGCTCGGCAGGGAGAAGCCGCCGTGCACACGCCCTGACTTCAGTCCCCTCCCCGGAGAAGGGTGCAGCCCATCTCTGACTAACGCTCTCCTGCAATGCTCACCTTTCCCTTTGAGTGCGACGCTGTTTTCAAATTATCGCCAGAGACCCTCCCCTTCCTTTGGCCAATCTTGTTGGGGCAGACAGAGAAGGGGAAAGCCCAGAGGAGCTGCTGGCGGCCAGGCTGCCCGGGAAGCGTGTTTATGGAGGGCGACCCAGACACGGCGGCCTCGGCGTGAGGCCCTCGCCACCCAGGGTGCGGGTGAGACGACCCACGCGGGGTCGTCTTCCAGTGCACAGATGGCTGTGTGAGGCTCTCTCCCCAACACTGCTGCCCACAAGCTGGACGAGGGAACAGTCCCTGGCTGTCCCCTGCCAGTCCGCTGCGGATCACAGGCTGCTTTGCGGAGGCCTGGGCCTGATGCGGGCGGGGGCGCGGAGGGCTCGCGCCGCCCCAGCAGGGCACCTCTGCAGGGAGAAGCCCCTCAGCGGGGCTGCGGGTCCCAAGAAGAAAAGTGGGTGGGGGGCACCCACCACCTCGCACGCTCCAGACCACCCGACTGCAGGGACCCGGGAGCCGCTGCTCTGGCTCCTCCGAGACCTTGAAAGCCACAGCAGCCCATTAACAAGGGAGCGATTCCCACTCGCCGGCCCACAAAGGACTCAGATTTCCAACGCACATGGTGCCAGATGCCAGGATTTAGAAATAAAATCTGACATCTGGGGCTTTTTAGCCAGTCTCTTTAAAAAACAGTTGTAGAAAACTCACAGCCTTCAGTTTTATGTAGGATTTTTAATTACTTAAAGCTCTTCTTTTTAATTTTTTACAGTGCTCCAGTAGGAGTTTGGAAGTCAGATATAAAACTTACATTACAGCTGAGAAAACACAGCTCTGGGCCTTTGGTTTATGGGGTAACCCAAGTCCTCACACACACGGTTCGGACGCCAAGCCAGTGGCCCCGCTGCAGACAGGGCGGCAGAGAAGCCGGCACAGCGACACTCGGAGCAGCCACTCTCACGTCAAGCACAGTCTCAGTCCCTGCTCCTTCTTAAAATGCAACAGGCCGGGCGCGGTGGCTCACGCCTGCAATCCTAACACTCTGGGAGGCCGAGGTGGGTGGATCGTTTGAGCTCAGGAGTTCGAGACCAGCCTGAGCAAGAGCGAGAACCCATCTCTACTAAAAATAGAAAGAAATTACTTGGACAGCTAAAAATATATAGAAAAAATTAGCCGGGCATGGTGGCACATGCCTGTAGTCCCAGCTACTTGGGAGGCTGAGGCAGGAGGATTGCTTGAGCCCAGGAGTTTGAGGTTGCCGTGAGCTAGGCTGACGCCAAGGCACTCTAGCCCAGGCAACAAAGTGAGACTCTGTCTCAAAAAAAAAAAGCAACATGTGGCATTAATCTCATGCACAAGGCCTGAAAACAGTTTTCCAATTTCCGGAATGGCTTCTGGCCATGGGGAGGCCAGCGGTCTGAGAGATAAGAGGACAGCAGGCGGGCCCCGGCCCTCCCGGCTACTCCACAGGCTGCCCGCAGGGGACACGGAGGCTGGAGGCGGCCACAGGCACCCACAGCCACCTCAGCAGGAAGGGCAGGCAGCACCTCCATGTGGGACGGGTTTCAGGCAGGGGATCCTCGGGGACCTTCGTCACAATAGGCACCCAAGATCCCACTGGAAATGGGGAGAGTTGCACTTTATTGATGTTTTGCAAATGCAGAAGATCTGAGCCCTGGCCCAGATCCGTTCGTGCGGTGAGGAATGGCTTTCCTTGGGAGAGTGACTCGGAACGAGACCCTGCAGGGCACGGGCTGCGTGGAAGCAGCCCGGAGGCAGCACCCGCTGGCCACACAGCTGCAGAGCAGGGAACAGAGATGGGGAGGCCACTGTCTCCTGGGCCCAACCCGTTCAAGACACTGCCTCAGGGATGATCCCTGTCATCTGCCCACAGAAGCCAGGGCCAGCACGACCCTGGGAGCTGGCTGGAGCAGGCACCGCCATAAATATGCAAAGAGCCCAACAAAGTAGGTGCCACTGCAACTCCATTTTACAGATGAGGAAACTAAGACTCAGAGAGGTTAAGTAACTTACCTGTGGTCACACAGCTAATGAGGGGCAGAGCCAGGATTCTAACACAGGCAGTCTGATCCTACAATGTGACACTGCCAGAATTGCTTCAGACTTGGGCAGGGAGGCGTGGAAACTGCCTTGGTCGATCGCAGTTGGTTCTAATTCCTTTAGGGTCACCCACACCTGTGAGACGGGCTTTAGGGAACCTGCCCCTGCAGAGCAGCGTCTGGGATGGGACACTGGTGACCAGCAATGGCGTGTGTCTCCCCTTTGGTCCCAGGAATCCCCCTTGGCAATGCTGTGACCGGCACCATAACTGGCGGGTGGAGGCTGCCCCTCCAGTGGCCTCCAGAGCCGCAGGGATGTGGCTGCCACGAGAGGGCTGCAGACAGAGGGTGGCTTTCCCTCCCTCCTGTTGGGAGGTGACAGACACAGAAAGGACGGCCTCGATGGTTAAACGGCACGCCGGCCACACAGCGAGCACCGCCTTCCCTGTCGGGGCAGTGCCGTGGCTGCCGCGTAACCCTCCGGGACCTCCGAGGCCAGACGAAGTCAGGCCCGCAGACGGCGGCCGGCTGGGCACCGAGGGCAGGAGCGAAGGGCTGTGGGGCAGAGCTGGACCTGGGAGACCCAGGGGCGCAGGGACACGTACCTTGGCGGCAGCCAGCTCGTGGGCGAGCTCCTGGACCTTCTGCTGCTGCTGAATCAGCAGCTCCTGGACGGAGGCGAGGGTGGTCTGTAACTGAGTCACTGGGAGAAGAGAGCAGGGGCGACACTGTTAAACTGATACCCCAAGATCTTCCCTTCTCCCTGTCCACGCACCTAGGAGCTGCTCGTGTTCCTGCTCCGTCTAATTTATGTGCAGACCCCCAGCCCCGCGATCCATCTAATTCATCTGCGCTCTGGGGAGTCTGCCCGCACCGCATCTAACCTCTAGTATTTCTACTTTATCTTTCTATTGTGTGGTTGTCCGTGGTCAACAGTATATCGTCCACAGCCCTCCCCTCTAATTATGGCAGCTTATGATTTGCTCGGCTCTCCCGGCTCCTACGATGCCACATCCCTCATCTCCCAGGCCTCACGGTGTCCTTGTGGAACTCAGAGAAAGTCTCCAGTCCCGGGAGAGCAGAGTCTCTGGCCTCGGCAACACCCAGGAGCGGCTAAGACTGCAAGTCCCGTTCCAGCTGCTCCTTCCTCCCTCCCCACCCGCCCCGGGGTCACGTGACCTGCGGGGCCTTGGTGCCGCCACCGCCAGTGGGACAGATGTGCCACGGGACTGCTGAGGGCTTCTCGAATGTGCCCCAGAGGGACTCGGACTCCTGCCTGGGACAGGGGGGCCCTGCCTTCCCTGCCTGGGTTTTTAGACTCCGAGCCTCCGTCCAGTAAACACGTTTATAAAGGAGAGGAGCCACCTCTGGCGCGACAGGTCCCAGCTAATCTGGGCCATCATTGGGGCACTGGGTAATGAACACGAGCCCTGTAGAGTCGATAACAGAGGAGGTGGCCGGGGTCCTGGGAGCCACAGTAATTACAGACTCTCTTGACCCTGCGCTGGATTCTTAGAGGGAAGGGGGAAAACCACTGAAAACCCCCCTGAAAACCTCATAGAAGCAGAAATTAAAAATGAACTTTACAGCCCTTAGAAAGGCTGTCATTTTATTCCCCTTATTAATATTCTGAGGTTGGGAGCCTTTCCGTAAAAACATAATTAATTGAGGCCGCGCCGACAGTAAACAAGCAATTTCAAATTAAACTGAAATGACGGCGGCTTCATTTGCAAATGTGAACAGATTCTCAGAGCAGATAAATGAAGTCACCACATAAAGTGGAGACGGAGGGAGCGGGGAGGGGGCAAGAAGGGGCTGCTTGGGGGAGGCTTTGAGGGGTGACTTGATGGAGTCATTAATCTTTACCTGTCTGGGCCACGCTGCCAGTCAGCTCGGAGAGACTGGCCTCCATCCTCTCCAGCTGCTTCCTGTCCTCGCGGCCGCCCACGATGAGGGGGAGCAGGTACTTCTGCGAGAAGCGGGACGGGGTGAGGAGCGGGCACGCGCCAGGGTCATCCCTCAACCATCTCCAACCCTGCTGCCCAACTTTCCCCGTCATCCCTGGGTTTTGGAAACCCCAAGCAAACACCATAAATGAACAAGATATTTGCAAAGTTACGAGACAGTGATTACAACCACGTAAAAACTCTGCCTGAATAAGGACGAGGACCAGGAGGGAACACGGACAAAAAAGTCAGTTTGATCTGTGGCGACGGAGAGCTTTCTGGTTCTTTTATTTACTTTTTCTTAATGATGCTGTAATACGTCAGTAACAAAAGTTTCTAAATTCTACTTTAAAAGTTGTAAGATAAAAATGTGGACAGATATACAAGAAATTGACACTCCTGGTGGCCTCCAGAGAGAAGTGAAAGGAGGTTTTCACTGCACACATTTCTGAATCTTTAACATTTTGAACGCTGTGAATGAATCACTCATTCAGAAACAAATGAGTAAAATTAAATAAACAAAAAATTACTCGAGAAACTAAAGAAAAATCAACAACAGATTTCTGGAACCCATGCTCCTTTACTAGGGGATAACAGACAAGCATTTCGAGGCTGCTGGAAGAGCCTCAGTCTTTTTCTGAACTAAGCCTGAATCCTCAGAACAAACTTCCTTTACCTAAGAGCCAAAAGCAGTCAAACCCCCCAGAACTGAAATCAGGGGCAGAGGGAGAAGATGGGGCAGGACCAGGAGAAACTGGCTCTGGGGACAAAGACAATGGGTGCTGCCGGATGACCCAACAAGGGTGCCTAGAACAGAGACCTGGATGAGGGGACATCTAGGATAAAGGCACAAGGGTGGCGGCTGTGGGACTTGGAAGGGAGTGGAGGCGTGGAGGTGGGCGGGGGCCGCTGGGGCTGCCGGGTGGGAGAGCAGGGCGGCGCAGAGACAAAGCCCTCGCCGGTGAGACAGTGAGACCCGCTGCCAACCGTAATGGGTGGCGCCAGAGCTAGGGCAGCGCGGGCCTGGCCGGGGTTACCAGGGGATAACTTGGGTTTTTAATCTATCTGGGCCCTGGATAGGGAGTGAGGCCGAAAACTTCTCCATTAAGGTTTCTGTACTGGGGAAGGAAAAGGTCTCTCACAAGGGCTTTGTGGGAACTCATTTCAAGAGCAACTCTTAAGTGAAGATTATTATTTAGCACATATATAGAGGCATTTTCTATTTTGCAAAGTGCTTTTCAACCATGGTGTTAGTTACCACTCACAACTGAGCTGAAACTCACCAAAGGCAGCCCTATGTTTCAGGCTGAAAATGTCCTAAGTGTGAAAGTCAAGAAATTCTCATACGAGTAACCAACTAAAAACCTCATTTCTGAGACCAGAAATGATCCAAGACCAGGAAGGAGCAGATACACTACCCCAGCCTAAGTCTTTATGTATTTATAAAGCAAGATGATGAATTCTTACTGCTGCTGCTTTTCTTCTTTCTTTTCTTTTCTTTTTTTTTGAGAGAGGATCTAGCTCTGTTGCGTGGGCTAGAGTGCAGTGGCGTCAGCCTAGCTCACAACCACCTCAAACTCTTGCGCTCAAGCGATCCTCCTGCCTCAGCCTCCCAAGTAGCTGGAACTACAGGCATGCGCCACTATGCCTGGCTAATTTTTTTATTTTTTGTAGAGACAGGGGTCTTTCTATGTTGCTCAGGTTGGTCTTGAACTCCTCCCCTCTCAGCCTCCCAAGTAGCTGGGACTATAGGTATGTACTGCTGCACCCGGCCCTGGTTGTAAATACTAGAGTAGGGCGATGGTGCACAAAGCACTTCCCACAAGCCAGGCACGGTCCTAGGCCTTTTCCAAATGAGCCCACTCCTTTCATCATCACCACAGCCTCAGAGGTAGGTGCTATCATCTCCGTTTCACAGATGAGAGCTGAGCCAAGGCCACACGGCTTCTAAGGGGCAGAGCCAGGGTTCAACACAGCCTGGTGTCCGTGCTCTCACTCACGATGTCACTCTGCCTCTCATGCTGCTCAACACACGCCGGGCACTGTTCTAAGCACCGGCCATGAACTGTCAATGGATGGACCTCACGGTCCTCCTGCAAGCGGAGCGTGACAAGAGGTGGGCTGGAGCCTGGGCAAGAGGTGGGCTGGAGCCCCAGCAGGGCGGGGACTTGCCCAGGCGTCTCCCCCAACCTGCATGGCCACCGTGCTCCAGGGCTGAGCGGGGCAGTGTCTCTACACAGCAGCCAAGGACCTGTGACACGGGGGCCGAATGCCCGAGGGTGGCAGAGGCATGGCACATGCGGCTGCTGAAAAGGTGACTCACCTTGTAGAGCTGGTGAAAGCCAAATGCGATCCCTGCCATGATGATGGCCAAGGCACCGTAATCTCGCCATCGGGAACCTGCAGGGCCTGAGGGCGGGAAAAGGAGAAGCATTAAGAGAAGTGGCACACAAGGTCCTTCCCCAGGGAGCACAGGCACAGTGCCTCAGTGGCACTGTCTCCTCACCTCCAGTGAAAGGCAGCCAGCTCCAGGAGGACGGTATATGGTTGTCAGCAACATCAGCTCAGCCCTACCCTCCTCTTCCCAGGCTCCTAGAGCCACCTGCCTCAACTGGGACAGGAGTGATCTCCAGTCACTGGCACTGCACACTGCTGGACAGAGGTGTTCAGCACTGAGCTAAGTCCCCGGAGAGGGGAGTTAGGTGGCAGAGGTGATCTGAAGACCTACGGCCTGGTCTCTACCTCCAGGAACCAAGGATCTAAAAAGGAGCCGGTGAGCAGACCCAGGTGTGCATCAGTGCCCCTACACGTGGCCCTACCACAGCCAGGGACATACCAGGGGCAGCTACGGGACAGAGGGAGCTCGTGGCGAACAAGAGGAGGGTAAGGCCCGTGGTGAACCGGATCGCCCTGCTCTACTCTCACACTGAGCCAGCAGAGAAGACGCAGTCTACAAATGACTGAGCGAGGCAACTCCGGAGACTGAGCGATCCGCCCACCTGACAGCGGTGTGAGAGTGGGGTGGCGGGGAGAGGGGCCCTGGAGGAGATCTGCCATCTTCGGGGCAGAGGAGGAATAGGCACAACAGACAGAAGGTGGGTCGGTGTGCACCAGGCGAGCACCCCCGGCCTTACTAAGGGGAGAAAGCTGCCCTGGCCCAGAGAACTGCAAGAACAGGGTGCTCAGGAGAACAGAGCGGGTTGCATAAGCTCAGGGAGCAGAGAGAAAAGAGGCGGAAATGGTGGTGGGGCTGGCTGCAACGTGTTTCAGAAGCAGCGGGGAGCCGCACAAGAGTCTGCATCAGGGAGTGCCAGGGTCTGGGGACGTGGGAGGCTGGGGTGGTGGGATGGCGAGTGGAGGCTCCCGCAAGGGCCCCCAAAGGTGGAGGGGGCTGGACTAGGACAGGAACCAGGAGCGGAGCCGCCTCAGGACATGCTCCGAGGCTGCTGCTGAGGAACTGGAATGGGGAGGAGCAGCCTCCTGGCCCAGGTCTCCCTCGAGCACCACTCCTGAGGCAGCTGCTGCTGGGGGAGAGGACAGGACAGGCTCCTGCATGCGCCTTTCTGGGGACAGAGAGCACCCACATCCCAATCTCACTGCAGGCCACCTCGGGAGGGCCTGGGGCCACTGTTCCCAGAGCGGCCAGTGGCGTGGGACACAGAGCAGCATGGAATGAGATCACAGCGGCACAGCCAGTTACCCAGAAGGCACCGAGGCCACGTGCCCAAGGGAGAACCGGGAAAGGGTGAGGGGGAAGACAGCAACGCTCCTCAGACCCTCAGGACAGCGTCACCGCCGTCACCGCTCACCTGTGCCTGCACGCTCCTGAGGGCCATGCCACGTCCTGGTGCTTCAGGACCAGGAGACGGGCGTTCTTCAGGGCAGAACGGGGGCCCGTGGGGAGGAGCTGCTGGCACGCAGCCACCCCAGATCCCACGCGAGGGCCCCCAAGGGGGTGAGGGAGACACCCCTCGTCCCCGGCTGCTGAACGGGGCTCTCGGGAGGCGGAGCAGACTCAGGGGCAGGGCCTGGCGTCTCCATGCTCCCTGCCCGGTCCTCCCTGCTGTGGACTCCACATGAGATTCCCCAGCGTGACCCAGCCCTGGAGTCTTGGTCACAAAACTGTAGTCAGCACACGGCCTGTCCCTCAGCCCCTGCTCCCGTTTCCGTACGCTTTTGGAACAGGTAACAAACACTGCGGTTCACACACCAAATAGCGTGAGTCGGGCCGAGGCACAAAGGCTTCCTCCACCGCCAAGGCCACGCTCCTTGGCTGTTCCCCGACCACCAGACCACCGGGAAAGCCACTGTTGGTAGTTTCTCTACAGCTGCATAACATTCCATTTAACCTTCCTACCGACGGGCATTCGGCCCCATTCCAGGCTCCCCCTCTTTCCCCAGTGCTGCCGTCTCCCGCACAGGCGCACGCACACCTGTGGCCCTCAGAAGCCCCGGGGCCCGGTCCACAGGCACGTGCATCTGCAGTTTTGAGAGCCGCTGCCACGCCACCGACAAGGGGGTCCCACAGTTCACCCCACCAGCCTGTGCACCGCGGCTGCCTCCCCACAGCCACGCCGACACAGCGTGAGTCAGACGCGGAGACTCCTGCCAACGCTCCGCGGGGAAACAGCTTCACTCCAGCCCTCATTTGCATTGATCTCATTTTGAGTAGGGACTGAGCGTCTTTTCATCAGTATTTCCTTTTCAGTGTATCTCGCATTCTCGGCTTTTCTACTTGATTTCTTTCCCCTTATCACCTTAGAGAGACTTTTTATATCTCAGGGATATTAGCCCTTTGTGATATGAATCGCAAACACCTTCCCCAGTTTATTTTTCTTTTGACTCTGCTAATGGTGTTTTGTGGCATGGAGACATTTTCCTGTTTATATAAAGTTACCAATCTGTTCTTTTATGGGTTCTGGGGCTTGTGTTACAGCAAGCAAGGGCCGCCCCTCCCTCCCTAGGCTGCGCAGTGACACTGGGCGTTCACGTAGGAAACCGAACGGGACAGCAGCAGACATCCGACAGGAACTGCTTCTCATTGAACAGGGAGCTCTGAGGCCACTGAGGCAGCTGGATCTTTCACCTTGACCCTGAGGAGCCGGGCACTCGGCGTCTCTGCCGGGCGCCCTCTGTTTCCCATTTCTCTACGAGTCAGCTTTGCTCTGCGCGCCAGATGCAAAATCTGACATCTAATGCAAGTTCATTCTGAGGAGGAAACGTGAAGCTAGAGTGACGCTGCCATTCGTTGAGAGGGTCGCTGCTCAGGAAGGCTTCAGTCCACACCCACAACAGCCCTCTGTGCAGCCGACATTCCCAGAGAAAACATCTTCAAAACGGGGCCTTCGTCCAGAACGTCGCATTCACCACTGATTTCCAAACACCCACTAAATCTCTTACAAGAAAGTAGTTGTAACCAAGATAAAAACTTGACCAGAACCCAAGGTTTGCTGGACTCTTCTGCTCTCCTGCAAACGCGTGGCACCACGAGAAGCACAGCCTCTTCCTGCTGGGCTTCTGGGCCGCCAAGGCTGAGCAGACCAGGACCCTCCCACGGTTGCCCCCACTTTCCAGAGCCCTGAGCTCCTCCAGCCCCTAGAAACATCTGTGGGCCCTGCCAGCCTCACCCTTCACCCCTCACTGCTCCTCGTCCCTGCCATGCTCGCATTAAGAACATTTTATTGCCCCCTGGTTTTCATTATTAATGAAAAGGGACCAGAATGATCTTTCCTAAAGTTCAGAGAGTCTATAAAGACAAGAAGCTGAAATGCCATTTTACTCGTTTTGGAGATGTGTGATACAATTCTGTCTTGTGGCAAAATGAAAAAAAAGAAAACTAGGATGGAGATGACCCTCGCCCACCGCGTGGCTCTCAAGGGTAACAGACCAGAGTTACCACAAGAGCATCAGTGTGACCCAAACTGGCTCTACCTCCCGGCCACAACCACCTGCATTCCTGTCCCTGCCCACTGATTTTTTCCAAGTCCAGTGTAGACCCGCGAGGCAACTGAGAGCAGGGCACCTGGGAGCACGGCCTCCTGTCACCATGCTCCCCAAACGGCCAGAATTACAGAGACAAGGGCAGAAATGGGGCCAGTCACTCTTCTGCTCTAGCTGGGTAAAGAAACTGGATGAGTGAGCTCTGTAAAGGCTTCAGCCCCTCCGGTGTGGAGACAGATGCCGGCCTGCCCTGCACACAAGGCAGCCGAGTGGGCAGGAAGCCTGGGGCCAAGTCCCTGGTACCACAGCACCAGCCAGATGCTTCCCAAAGACATTTTTCTCTTCTTATCAAGCACTTGACTGAATGTGGCAGAGCTCTGCTCGCCCCAAAGAACCCAGGAACAATGACATTCCAACTCTCGCTCAGATCCAAATCATCTACGGCACTTCCTCAGCAGGCATGACTGGCTGAAGGCTGGCGGCATGGTCACTCATCAGTGCTACATCCTGGGCGTCTCTGATGGCTGTGGCAATTAACACCTGCACGACTGAGCAGTTCTGGGACTGTCCTCAGGCTATGGGATGCAATGAGTTAGGGGGTACGTCACTGTAGGGAGAAGGGTGTAGGGCTAAAACCCAACGCCTTTCTTAACTTTTCCAAGGACTCTACAAACTAGCGTGAGCTCTGACAGTCCCCACGGAGGTTTGTCTGCCCAGAGGCTCATGGTGGACAGAGCCCACACCAGGACCAGAAGAGCTGTACCCCACGGCTCCTTAACTGTGCACTGAACAACAACAAACCAACAGTACTCAATTTCGTTAACTCTATCTCTATCGACCAAGAAATTCTCAGCTAGCAGAGAACAAAGATCATCCAGTAGGAACACATGCATGGGCCTGGGACTTGTGTGCACAACATGGCAATGTTGAGCCTGAAATCACTAAGTCATGGACTCAGCCATCGACACCACGGAAATCCTACAATCCAGGAAGATTCATCAGCGACATAGAGCTGAAGCTGTCACGAAATCATCCTGCTGAGACAATATGCACTCCAGTGACGTGCCGGCTGACAAGAGAGAGAAGACTGTCCTGTCCTTGGGGAGGCTGGCAGCCCAGGCATGGGGCAGGGCAGTGGCAGACACCAGGCAGGCCAGGGAAGGTCCCCTCCACCCTGAGCAGGGTGGGAGCCCTGACCCCACACAGCAGTGGATCTAGCTCCTCAAATCAGCCCACCAGCTTTGCTCAGAAGCCACCCTGAACATTATGCTCAGACAAACCCACTCACAGTAAGGTCCTGGAATAAAGCCAGCCCAACAAATCAGTGCTTGCTATAGCACAGGATGCTGGGCTACCTGCACAGGAAGACTGGTGACCAGCTGCAGGTCCCACAGGCCAAGCTGAGGAGGCTAGCAACAGCCGGGCGGGGGCGATGGCACTGAAACTCATGGCTTTGGATGGCTGGCAGG